GGAGCCTTGAGGCTTGACTCACGCCGCCCCGACGCGTCTGAGCTTTTGGCGCGCTACTTGTGCCCGACTTTTACCTATTATACGCCAGGCAGCAGCAGCGGCAGTCGCTGTGGAAAGCTATCCCTTTAACTACTAGCAGTTATTTCCATTGCCGCTGGAATGCCTCGTTTGCTCTACTTTTCACTTGGCTCTCTCACTTTCTGATCGTGTAATGTTGCCATTTTGACTTACTTATTCCAGTGGATTCTACCTATTGATCAGATTGACCAAGTAATGTTTTACTTGTCAATCTCTCTCTCTCTCTCTCTCTCTCTCTCTCTCTCTCTCTCTCTCTCTCTCTCTCTCTCTCTCTCTCTCTCTCTCTCTCTCAAGAGATATGCATATTTTCCTATGCTGTGAATAATTTGTCATTATTTATTAGTGATCAAAATTGCCTTAATATAAGTGTCAACCATCTCGAAAAATGTTTTGTGAAATTGGAGATATTAGGTAGCTCAAATCTAAAAATACGAGTATTGGCAATTGTGCTTATTCACGTCTTGTTTACTCGAAGAATGCCGCTGCGCGAGAAGAGAAGAGTTGCACAATTTTTACACCACAACGGATCACAAACTAATTGGGCATACGTATACTCGATCAAGCAAACTAAATCACTCGGTTTTTGGCGAATTTTTCACCTTCGTCGTTGTTTGTTATGATTATGTTACTTGTCAAACGACACTGAATTATTGCGATCTGGCATTCAAATTATTATATAGATACAAGTAAATCAAGTATTTTAAAAGCTAAGACGAAAACAGACGCAATGAATCATCGTCAAACATTTTTCTATGATGGTCAACTTATTTCTGAGTGTATAAAATATTTGAACAGATGGAACAAAAAATGACAACTTCTATTTTGATCGCTCGCTTGCTAATGTCTTTCCGACACCTACGTTGTATTTTTTTGTCAAAAATTACTGAGGGGAAAAAAACTTGGTATTTCAGAAGATTCGAAATAGACTAGGATCAAGTATAACGGAATTTGATTAAAATGCTTGCAGAACATCATGTTAATTGTCAGTAATTCGTTATCGATTGCGTCTTTCGTATTGAAACAGTCATACTATAGTGAATAACACTTGGATGTTCCTGACAACTTTACTTACTTTTGAATTTGAAAGCTTGCAGCGGTGTCGTTTAAATAATCATAAGATGTTTAAATTGCTACTAAGTTTCTTGATATTATTAAAAGTCATCGTAAGCCACAAGTCTACATAGTTCAAAATATTAGGTATTATAGCATCTGGCGGTGTTGAGTGAAATTTGCAATTTGACATTTCCGGGATATTTCTAAAGCTTGCTACTAAAACTCGATGCCAAGGAGAACTGCAGTACAGTATTATTGCCTGAAGGGGGTTATAAACGAGGCAAATTTCTCCGACAACTTGCCTTTTTATAGAACTGGCAAGTCGCTTTTTGTTTCTGCTCGTCTAATGCCTTTTTATCGAGGCGCTCACTGTCACACGGAGAATGAGGGTGAAGCTGATGAATATTTAAAGGCCAAGATTTCAGCATGTCTTGGCGTTCGGATTGAAAGAGTGAACTTTTATGAAAAAAGTGAAATAAAATGTAACAAATAGTGTACAATTGATATTAGCTCGAACATGTTCACGAGTAGAATTGAAAGTCGGATATTGGGCATAGGAATGATATACATATTTGCTACATTCATTTATAAAACAAAACAACAATCAAATTGTAAAGTAATTATTACATGAATGTATTATTACTTATCGCTTATCTGTTCAAAATTGGCAATCGTCCTATTATTACGAACGAGAACAAACTAAAAACACAATTTAAAGAATACTTTTTGCATGAAATATCAAACGGATGAAAATATACTGTCTCTCTCTTCGGAAATGCCGTACAACAAAAGTTAATTTTATCGCCGCGCGTTTATTTTAAATCGCGCAAACAATAAAAGAAAAACGGTCTTGGAAAAAAGAATTTTCACCGTGGGCATTTGATTCTCTCGATCTGCGAAGATAAAGCTTTACGAAATAAACGTAATGTGGTCTTTTGCTTTTTGGTTGCAAGCAACCGGTAAATATACAGATATCTAGCATCTTCGATTTGGCTGCAGACAGTAGGAGGAAGACGACGCAGACAGTGACAGGAGGCGCAGTGGTGTTGCATTACGGGGCGCCGACCCACTTGAGCCGTCGCTATTTTGCTTCTTCACTTTGCTCTGACTCGCTCCGAATCAACTGCTGTAGCAACCTTCACTGCATAGAATGTTCGTCGAGCTTCTTTAAAAGAAAAATCTTCTGGCTTGCAGAGCGAAATTTTTGAGGAACTCTCAACGGTGTTTGTCTTTTTGGCAGCTACGCGTTGGTTATTGTCAATGTTATTTTCGTAAGGGTGCCGCGCCGAAACGGAATACAAACGATTATCCGAGTGCAACATTCCGATAAATTTCTCGTTGCGTCCGACATCTTATAAAAGTCCAATAATCTCTGCGGCACCGCGCACAAGCCGGAGTGATAGTGGCATTGAACTGGATGCTATTTTTCGGAGGTAAGGGAAGCTGTACGTTCAGCGCGTGGGCATATTTTATTCAAATAGACTTGCATTCGACGCGCGCTTAGTTTTATATTTCGTCTAGACGATCAACGCGTACACACCTCATTTATAGATTGGCTCGAAGAGAGAAAAACTGCAAGACAAACATTTAGCTGTGGAGACTCGGTTGCGCGCTAAGAGACAATCGAGAAAAGGCTTCGTGCGGGTTTAGTCGGAGCGCGGTCGCGCGCGCAAAGCACACGTCATATTTTTAACTCGCGCGCGAATATTTGGGACACAGAGTTCTGGCGCGCGATATGGAGGGGCTAACTTCTCAAGGGATAAAAGCCGAAGGAGAAAATTATAATGTTCGACGCGTATTTTCTATATATCGGCTTGCAGTCGAGCGAGCGAGATTATTTGCGCGAGTGACTCTTGCATCTAGTCCAAACGTTCGTGTCGGGTTTCAAGAGAATTTAAATCATCTCTTTACGGAACGTTAGGGGCAAGCTTATGAATGGCTAAACGCAAATAAAATACATTGCCTGCTTTTCTTAACGCTCTCTCTCTCTCTCTCTCTCTTTCTCTCTCTTCCTCTCTCGCGATTTTCGGTTTCGTCGCCAATCACTTCTATTTCTAATGGAATACCTTTTTATATTTACGGAGACCTACATGTTCACTTATATACATATCTTGTCACTTACTTTGGATTTCAAATTCATTTATACAATAGAAATTATTACGAACCTCTATAGAGATTCGCGAAAAGCTATCAACTGAAAATACAGAAGTGCGTATGGAATCTTACATCGATATCCGAAAACGGGCACACTATAACGGAATTCAGCTACAAGTGAATTGATGATAAAAATGTTGAATAGTTTGGAGGTCAAGTCGAGGTTAGTAATCCAAGTGCAACGTTCGGAAGCAGACCGGAACTACAGTCTCGTGTGGCATCATCCTCGTCTTGGCAATGGGTACGCTAAAAATACAGTACCTGTAAGTGTATTGGAAAATTGATCTATTAAGTGGTCGATTAGCCGTCGTGCGTTTATCTTTCTCGTTGAATTCCACGGACTAATATACCTCGATACCACGTACGCTTGTGCATAGCTTCGCGACCATCCAAGATTGCTACGCTCACTTCTAAACGTGCATGATTTTATTAAGAGACCTCGCATGCAATTATTTAGCAATTTACAAAGTATTCAGTGGGAGCATTTTGACAACGCAAGGGTGTTTTTTTTCTTCGTTTCGAATAAACGAGGTCACGACAAATCGAACGACGCACATTTCCTTCGCAGCGGCGGCACGAGAAGAAGACGCCTGTCTTACGCAATGCTGGTCTCGTTCGAGGTGAAGCTGCACGCTGCAGATCCGTAACTCTTCAGTTTACGAAGCGCCAGCTGTGCCACTTAACTCTAGCTTGACCATCTTCCATGATTTCACTTGTCTCTTAGCGGATCTGCTTATTCTATTTTGAGAGATGGATATATCAATGATTTCGTGATTCGTCTTCATTAGATTTATACTTTGCTGGTTCTTCAAAGCAATTAATTCAATTAAAAAAATTGATTCATATTATTTAGCTATCTTGTATTAGCAGCGATTGTACGTACCGCGTTTGATAAAATTTCAAGATTATAAGACGATCGAGTTCTGTAGTATTAGTGGAATTTCATCATGATACTTGCAAAAGTAAAAATATCTTACACCAACATTCTTCCGAAAAAGAAATACTTTCTTTGCTATGTTCAATTAAATTATTTAAAAATATATGATATTTCTAATCCCCCAAAATGAAAAGCCATACTTCTATCGTTAATTGACTAATATCAGGATGCGTAAGGAAATTCAGTTAATTTTATTGTTGGCTTGTTCCAATCAAACTACGAGCATTATAACCACGCTTAGCACAGAACACGGGCTAACGACGATTCGATCTCTTTTTCGTAGTGCTCGGTGTTTTCCTTTTCTCCTTGACTGCCGCCTCCTTTTCTCGCTTCGCCGTCGTTCAGGTTACTTCTGGGGCCAGCGGCGACGAGACGCGCGCGCTCTGCGCTATTTTCGTGTCCCAGGGACAATGTAGCTGAAGCTCCCAGAGAAAATCACGGGGCGATTTACTTCTCTCCTTTCCCACTCACACCTACGGCTTACGGCTATTTCTTTCTCGTTTCTCTTGTTCTTCATTTCTTTTTCGTTTTTTTTTTGTTTAAGATCCGATCTTGCCTGTACACTTCTATAGAAAATATGGTAATACATTTTTACTTTTAAGCTACGAGAGCTTAATTGAATGGAAAGATGCGAATATATTTTGAACATGACTTTTGAAAATGTTGCTTCGTTGAGTAAAGCGAAAAATAATTCAAATTTTCGTGCTTCGCTGAGATGTTCTGAACGATGCTACACATGGAAGTAAGTTACTATTTAATAAGTAATAAACGTATAGGTATTTCCAGCGCTATATTCTTGTCGCTACTAGTCATTTTGAATTTGTTACTAAATAAATCTGTGAAATCTCTATGTATTTCATGATACTGTACTGAGTGTACTGCAAGCGTCGAATTTTCAAATTTGTCGATAATAGAGCCATCTTTACGAAACGCGAAGAACTACTCAGCTGTTTTGGCGTGTGAGTGTGTGTGTGCGTGTCGGCGATGCTCTCGAAGATAAACAAAAATAATGTTTCCGTCTTAAAGATTTCTGCACAGTTTAAATAAATATGACTGACAACAAGAGCTTTGTGTTTTTCTTTGTACAAATTATTTTTTATGTGATACTGTTACTCAATCTTCTCCCGTTTGTAACAGCAATAAGTGCCAGTATTAAATCAGAGGTTGAAGGCGATGGCTTTCATAGGTGAGATTGATATCATGTAATTTATATTTTTGTTTATTTGATTTATTTAGTGTAGTTGTCAATTAGCATGAATTAAGATTTTCTGCAAATAATACTACATTGAATTGATATTATTCTTTTCATTTACTTCATCTTTATTATTAATTATATTTACAGTTGTTATTCATTTAATATATCCTCGTGAAACTAAATTTTTATGTTTTTTAATGAAAAATGTAGTTTAATAATGATTTTTGTTTTAGGAATTTAAAATACTATGTTAACACCGGAGACTTTAAAAACAATAGTTGTCATGTAGCAGTATTTGTAAGATTGCCTACTTCGCTCTATGTTAATGTAGATGAATTAGCTGATCTCAGGAGGCTTCGTAAGGTACATACTATAAAATTTGATTGTATTAAATTTAGATCAACCGACTAGCAGCACTTATTGATTTCTTTTTAGAGCACATCATGCTCAGAAGGAGAAATAGATGTAGAATTGTTTGCTGAAAAAGCTTACTATCAAAATGTTACCATATGTTCTCGATTAAGTAGTACAAAAATTACTTTGGAAATTCCAATACATCAGCGCTATCGACTAGCTAGTCAAAATGGTCAACCAGTCAATGTGTCAATACCAAAGCCAAAATTACTGATAGGGTGCAAAGATAGGCTCAAAGAGCACAGAGTTTCAAAAATTCAAATATGTTGGCCATGTATAGAGTTCTCAAAGAAGTGGAGAGAAATTCCTTACAGATGGGTAAATGTCAGCTAAACTATGGTTATTTAAATACTAAAATATAGTTGAATAAAAGTCACAATTTTCTTTATTTACAATATAGTAATCTTATATCAACATTTTTTTATTTTTTAGGAAGAAAGTAATTTTGTTTGGCGAATTCCAGTTGGCAATACATCCAAAAAACTCGTAATTACCTGTATCACACTATTTGTGACTCTTTGTGGAGCGGCCTGTGTTCTATCTGCTCTTTACAATTCTTATCAAGTACCAAAAGATAAAAAATTCAAGGAACATTAATACACCAAACAAAACTAGAATTTTTGTTAACAAATCTAGTAACATGCAGACCGTTATGCATTTAAATTATTTGTACTGGAATTAAATTAATAGTTTTTTTACATATTACGTCATTTACATACTTGTGATAAGACTTATCAACTGAAAAGATAATAACATTAAATCAATTTACAACTAGTAGATGAGATTTAACAATCTAAAATCGGTGTGCCAAAGGTTTGTGAATACTGTACAAAAAGTATGAGTATCCTAAACTTAATATGAACTTTTTTTATAAATGAGACCAGTTACTTCTGTTTATCTGTAACTACGTGTATCACATCTCAATATCATTGTTAATTAACATAGTAAATTAACAAAGTAAATTAATTAACATACTTGATACAGTACGTTATGTATATGACCAGCTTATACGATTATGGTATCTTACGGAATGGAATGGATAGAGCAATAACTTAAATTAATTTATCTCTATTTCGTCACTATTCCATCACTATTCGATCGCTCATCGTTCTATTTTCTCGTCTTTCTCTTTCTTCTTCATTTCATTTAGTGATTCGGATATCGTTGGCACTTCCGGATATGCGTGCTCTTTACCTTTCCTATGCGTCGGGTCATTCCAATGCTGTACTTTAGCTGAGCCAAAGAGCAAGAACGCAAGGGCTCCTATGACGTACATTCCGGATGTTAATAAGAAAATGGTCCTCCACTGAGATGCGTTAGTCTGAGTAAAACACGTAGAAACACTTATAAATTTTAAAGACTTTGGAATTTGCAATCAAGTATTTTTATTTATAAATTGCTTGGAAACACTTTCTGTATTTTTACTTCTCGTTGAAGCTTTGAATGTATCTTTGACCTCGTGATAATGAAAATATCAAATAATAATTTTTCATGTAAAAGCTTCGTTTCTCTCATTTAAACATTTTCAATGGTTTTGAAAATATATTATTATAATCATTAATCAAGATTTTGTTTGGGAACACAAATGAATATTTAAAGAAAATAAAAAATTCAACTAACCTGATCGGTAACAATGAGTCCTTGAACCAAAGGCGCGAGAATACTGCAAATATTTGCGGCAGCGTTGGTGAATCCCATGAGAGGTCCAGCAAAGTTAGGACTGAGATCCATATGATTAGCGTGATGTCCGCAAAAGATGGCAATGTTGCCAGCAACCGCAACAATGAGGATACAAACAGCAAGAGTATGTTGACTGCTGCTGATGAAACTAAGTCCAACAAGGGCAACCGCCGGGATTATCTCGCCTATTGTATTGTAGATCATACGCGAAGTATGCACTGACAGTTTGCCCGTGCGGATAGCCCAGTCGGAGCCGAAGCTCACCGGGAAGCTCAACAACCAGGCGCACAGGTAAGGCAACGATGAAATCAGACCATTCTGTAAATCATAATTGATTATTCATTCTTTTTTAACTGATGAATTGTTGCATTGTGATTGACGTTTTTTGTAATACGCTAATTTCATATTAAAAGTTTAAAAACTAATTGTAATTGACAATTACGAACCTTCTTAGTAAACGTGAAACGACGTTGTTTCGTAATCAACAATTACCTTATATCTCCAAATTACTCGTTATATGATCTTAATAACTCTTGTTACAACTAAACGATTTTAAAATATCATTTTTGTTTCTTTCATTTCTTCATATTTACGCGGTACGCCAACCGCAATATGAATAACAATTCTAACTATATAGTACAAATCTATTGTTGAAAGGCTTATCATTTCAAAATAATGGACATTGTATCTGTTTGAGAAATGATAAAATATACATGGTCGAGTTTTAAGTTGAGTGATATTGCGTAACCGATTGTTGCGCAAGCTTTACATATCTTTCGCATCAGCATAAACTTTTTTACTGCAAAATACTAAGTAAAGTCTCGGTCACTCAACCTACGAGATCGAATTTCTAAATCATCATTTTGAGGTAAACTTAAAAATTCACTTCACGGGAATGAAATCAGAACAGGCAAACGTGGATTTTCACTACAATGGCAATTTGTACTTGAGTACGGGATAAGTATTATAATGCGCATAAATTGCATTGAAAATAATCACGTAGGTTCTTTGACCGTGATCCAAAGCGGAGTATAACTTGGCAGTGCGCGCGCGACGTGCTAATGGAGCGCCTTCGAAGCGCATGTTCGCGGCTACGTGCGCACGAAAAATCATTAAGGAGTTCGGAGGCAGTCCACGCGCAACGACAGTAACACCTTGAAAGTCGCCTGCGACCTAGTCCTTGAACACTCGACCATTTTCTTTATCGCGCGAGCTGCATACAATTACTAATCTTACCGCTTCCGAAATATACGTTTTTGGTCGACGGACTGAGGATTTTCGATTATCACTTATATAAAAGAAGTTCACGTGGCGATCGAATTCATCATCAAAGATTATAATTGAATTGGATTAAAATATCGGAATATTGATTAATCGCATTGATGTAATCTTTCGAATGTATGTGCCTCACACTTTTGCGCTAAAATCCCCGAATTCAAGTTGTCATTTTATCGCTCGGATTTATATTGGTATAATTTTACGATGTTCCGAGTAACGGGCGGAAGAATTTTATCAGTTGTAACGCCATCATGTAATAATTGGCAGTAAATAATTCTGAGCTTCCCGGCCATATGTATAGATATATTACATTATTGGCGGTCATCGTTCCTAGTCCAGTCGCATCTGTGCTCAACCGAAAAATCAGAGCTCTTCAGGATCTCATAGTTACCTGCGTTCGGATCTACGAGTTCCCCATCATAACGTCGACTAAACCAAGGGTTATATATCCTTGTATCTTCAAAACGGCTGAATCCAACTTTGGAAACTCAGTTACCGGAGCTGACTACAGCCATAATTTCCACGGTTCAATGGAAGACCAACGCGATGAAGAAACCCCAGATAAAAAGCTAGCGATTCTCATCGATGCTATTAAATTAAGAACCTCATATTCAGGCGTGCGCTGTCGCTTTAACACTTCAACTTTCCGCATTTCAATTCATACTGATCTATCGCGTGTGCCTCGAACTTTAATTATATTCTTAGCAAATTGACATTTAGCACCGTATAATTTAGTGTATAGAAACGTAATTATTATCGTTAATTTTGTAACTATAAACTCATATTCCTGTCAACTGTTATAATTCAAGTTGCTGTCTATAGTCTGCGTGGTAATATACCCTTTTTTACTTTATCTTATCGTCCTATTTCTTAATCTCTCTCTATATTCGTTCTCATCGTCTAACGTAATAAACAAGAAAATTCTTAAATAGTGTGAAGCACCATGAAAAATCAATTTCGCTCGTAAGTTCTTTTTTTAAAAATCAACAAATTGACAACAATTTATTGGCCAAGAAGGTTCTATGTATTCCTTGCGAGGTGTAGATTAAATGGTAAAATCATAAGCTACTTACGTTTTGAATGTCGTATTTGAGTACATCGCCCATATACGAAGGTATTTTGCTGAGTAGTAGCCAGAAACCCCAAGCTTGCACGCACTGTGTGACAAGTAGAGCCCAAACTGGTATGGACGTAAGTATGTGCCTCCATGGTGTTGACATTGGCTATAAATCCAATGTGCAAAAATTATCATCGTAATCCTTAGATACAAGTTTTTTTTCTTTTTTTTTTATATTGCCAAACTTACCTCAGTAGTCTCGATGACACCGAGACTACTTTCGATGTATAATTTCTCATCGGCAGAAATTCCAGGATGTTCAGCAGGCGATTCTTTGCCGAAGAAGTAACACAAAATCGCTACGATTAGGGATATCGTACCCCAGAAGTAGAAGCAACTTGGCCAACCCATTTTTGTTGCTGATAGTAGCCCAGAACTCTGCAAGGCAATAACGTTACCGACCCAGCCACCAGAGTACACGAATGACGCTGTTGAACATAAAATTTTTATTTTAGTTTATATTTATTTGTGCAGCAATTTAGAATCATGTTGCGATATAATAAAAATCAAAGAAATTCGTTTCATGGCAAACTCAAAGTCGCCAGACTTAAGGCGAGAAGATAAATTACATGGAAAATAAAAAGTTAATAGGAAGAATTTATCAAAATAAATACGAAATACACAGAAATAATAGCACCGATGAGATTACTGTTAACATAAGAATCACTGTACAGTAATGACTAATTCGCGAAACAGTGACGTGCAATTGAATCGCTATTGTAATCGGAAGCGTCAAAAGATTACAGCCGAGACAAAGATCCAATTAGAGATCTTTACAATACTCACTGAATCTGCCTCTCTCCTGCAATGGCACCCACTTAGCCAGAAGAGTGTGTATGATCGGTGGCACGACACCTTGGCAAAGACCACAAAATACGCGGCAAGCGCACACGGCATAGTAACCACCGTAATATGCGGCCATGGGAATCACCAGCGTAGAAATCGAACAAAGTCCAATGGCAATGCCGAGTAGTCGCTGTGCGCCCCAACGTTGTGCCATCATACCACCGGGTATGTGTGTCACCACGTAACCCCAGAAGAATGAGCTCAGCATCAGATTCACTGCCGTTATGTCCCAGTTGTAGTGCTATAACACATGTTCATTAATTTCAACGTTGAAACTGGTTAATTTATGAGAGAAAAACACCAGCTTTGGTGTAAACAAAATCGTGGCAATCCTTTTTTTTCTTTCTAACTTCCAGATCACAACTTCGGAGCTTGTTTCACGCTCTCGTGCAGAAAAATACTGTTATAACTGATGCGAAAGGGCTTTTTGACGAAAGTCAAATTTTCAGCACTTAATAAAGTTATAGTAAAGTTCTCGTTTCGTCAAAAAAGCCGTTGCGCACTCGTTAGAAAATGTACTATTGCGGATTGCAGGAAAAGCACGTATCTCGGGTTTTTCCGTTTACGAATGAAACATTTTCAATGCGCGAGTGAGAAATATTAGCATGTTAAATGAAATTCGTCGAAAAAGTAGTAGCAACTCGTTGGGCGAATCGCAGTAAAGATTAAGAAGAAGTTAATGTGAAATTATAATCTACGTCGATGATGTGATTTCAAAACGGATGGCATTTGATCAGTCAAACTTTATCACTTGCATCTTTTGATTGTATCGAATCGACTTACGTGAGTAAGACAAAAAAAACCAACTGCACGTACTACTTTTTCCTCTACTGATTCATTTTAGCCAAACGCATATTATCGCAGCAAGCCGGCAACTGCGTACGCGTGAATTAATAACTCATGTTACGTGATCTAGCATAAGATTGTTCGATATTCCAAAGAGATAGCAATAACTGCGAATTCGAGGCTCCTAACTCATCTGCATTGGACGTTTATATCCGCAGAAAATTTTACCTCGGGTTTCGCGCTGTCAGTCATAGCGACCACTGCAACCGACATGCAAACCCTCATAGCGTAACAGCTGAGGAAACCAAGCGTCAGAAGGAATGCCTGGACGTGCCTTGATCCGATGGTCGCTGTAAACAACCAAAATACGATTTTATATTACTTTTTATTTTTCTTTGTTCCACACTCATCTCCTTATGTATACGTGACTTTGCTCCAATTCATATCGCGCTTCGTTATTTGTATCAATTATTTGCCCGCGATTTATTCCTTTGGAATGTGCGTTTGAAAAATAATAAAAAAAAGCGATCGTCTCGTGCGAGCAAACACTGAATTCGCGCGGCTTATCAGCTATGATAATCGTTAATCGTACACACACATACCTGCGGCGCGGCGTACGATTGGAAAATTGAAAATTGAAGGCAAAAAAAGTGGCGCATTGGGTCAAGCGCAAGAATGTTATTGATAAATGTATACAACAGATATAATTTTTTGCACGGAGCATCACGTGCGTGCGCTGCTCGAACAATGACGTACGAAAAATCTCTTATCCTTCAGCCTCAACGTGAGTCAGTTTTATAATGAGAATGCGCCGATTTTCTCTCGCGAGACAATTTTTTTTCCTGCTGTAACGAGTGCGATTTAAGTGTCATCATTCCAAATAGAAAACTGTTGCGTGGATTACGTACGCGTGTCGAGTTGAAAAGTTCGAGGTATAGGCATTTTTTTGGTCGGGATGGTTCATTGAACTGCAGCTGCGTAAACATGTCAAGATGTGTGATTAAGATTTATTCATTTTTTTATTGAATTAAGCCATCGATCGGTCGATATGATAAATGTAAGAAAAACATTTTGTTTTTAGTGCGATGTCTAAATCTTTCATGGTTTTCAACATAAGCAAATTTAAACTAATTGTTTACCATCGTCTTATATTGGCGATGATATTTACAATTTATTTTTAATCGAATGTCTCGAGTCGCAGTATGATCGCTAATTTTTTTATTTAGAAATGTTTCATTAATTGTTTCAAATTAATTGAAAGTAAATCATAGTTGATCAATGATTAATTATAAACTGCATACCTTAAAATATTTTATTTAATGTCTTGATTTGTAACTTATTAATCAAATTTATTATACAATATAAATTGCCTACACATATCGGTGTGGACCCTAATCATAACGATGTTGTACAGATATACGAAAGAGTTTGGAGATCTCAGAGCTTTAAAGTTGATTTGTAGTAGGCAATTAGATATAATTTCAAGAGCTTACACTAAGATTAAACTGACGATCAGTAACTATATTCAACTTGCACTTTTTCATTTGATAAACTGTAATTACAATAATTTTTTTTACTCCGAGTCAGAGTTTATCGACAATGGACTAAACAACGCACAAAGTCATTCGCAATTATATCGTATAGCACTTCGTTTTGAAATTTTCCAAGACTTCATTGCACAATAAGTAGTAGCAGTAAGATTAATAGCATTTTTCCTTGGGGATATAACCAAAGATGATAAAGAAAGTCAATGTATGCCGCTTCTATTATGGATGCGGCAAATCATAACTACATGATTGAAAATCGCGCGCATGCCTTTACGTAAGCAATCATGTTATAGCGTTCCTTTTTTTTTTCTTTATCGTTCATAGATTAAGAATTGAAAAGCGCATCAGTATTCGCTTAGCACATGGAGTATACTCGCATAGCTGAAGTCGTATAAAGCGCAAGGAATGCCGGAACAATATCATAAAAATTCTACGTAATAGCATCCGTCATTGAAATTAACGAAAAAATAATGAATGTTTAGCTCAAATACGATGCAGTGATCCATGAAATGCGGTATGTTGAACCGAACCGACTTTCATTCAATTTCATTTTGTTTCCGATTCCGACGTTTATGGCACAAACGTAAGAAATAAATTCGCCGGCACTTGTTAACATTCCAGCGAATCTGATTGGCTACCTAGAAACCGGAACGCATCCTTGAGAGGAAAAAACGCAAAGGAAACGCGCGGGCAACCGCGGTGGGCTCTAGACTGCTGAGGGTCCGAATCGAGTATTCGTCTCGCGCGCGTACGTGGCGCGAGAAAAACGATGCTTATCTTCGCGCCGATCTACCGAAACTTCTTATGGTTTGCGCAACTTTTTCGCTTTATTTTTCATATATCGACTGCGTTAACTTTTAACTTATTCATTCTTTCTTTATACGTGTGAGTAGAACGACTGTTTACGATGAAGTCAAACGACTAACGTTCTTGTACACATTTGCCAACACATTATTTCACGTTTTTTGTCTGCGAGCGTTCAGTTATGATTTACGAGTACCATAGCTTATGTTTTTTGAACGGAAGAACTGTTTTTTTTAATACTCAAACGCATGCGTCAACGGAACATTTAAGTAAAGATATATCAGTGAAGAGAAATAAAGCTCTTTTCATACTTTTTCCTATTTGTTAGACGTGCTGATAAGAAAACGGAGAATGGTACATTGCAAAAGCAATTTTCATTTCTATTTTTACATTTTTTTACTCGAGTTTATAGCGGTCAGAACGAGGCTTGAGTTACGATCTAATTAATACGCTCCGTTGGAAAGATATATCGTTTTTCAAAATATTTTCTTTCGAAATCGTTAGTAACTATCTTCGTTAATTATGTGTAGCTTTTTAATAAGATACTCGAACTTTACACTTTTTCCACTAATTAACCACGTGTAAATTTTCCATCGACACCAGGCAAGTTACAGACAAACAGATAAACTTGGTTGTATCAACTCTATCTTTATTATTAAACATAATTGATAGTTCCGTCACAATCAATTCAATTTCAAAACTTTTTCTGATCGATCGCGCCGCAATCGAAAGAAAAATACGATATGGATACCAAACGCCGATAATTCCAACACTGCAGTATTCGCTCTGTTCAAAGCATATGAATCACAAAACAAAAAAAAAACAGAACTGACCCTTAGGTTTGAGCGGCGAAATCTTCATGTTCTCCGCCAGGGAGACTCTTCTGACAGTATGCGTCATGATGAAAATCGTCGAGACTCGCGCACTTGTGAAAAAATCAGTTTGTCCGATGCAAAGGTGTGCTTCGATCGAGTTCGCAAAAGTACGCGGACAATAAGTTTGCGCGCGTGAAAGGCGTCTCCGAAATATCGGTCACCTGTGAAGGAGCGTTGGCGCGCGGTTATACGCGCTTACATAGCGCGGAATCACAGTGTCTCGCGAGACTCACGAGTCCGCTGGCTACCGGCAACGCTTTTATGCGCGCAAGCGCCTTATACCTACTTGCCCACCACGCATCTCGACACTTGTACGTGGAATTCCTTACCATTTGGTTCTTCGCTGACTATACTCACGTACCTTGATAGCAAATGACCTTTCGCCTACAGATTTATAAGTGACATACGTCCTGCTACTCGCTACTGTTTTTCTCTTTTTATTTTTTCCTTTTTCCAACGACGTGATGAGCTTCCGCAACAACTTTATCTGTCGCCTATCGCGATCAATATTTTAAGTGTACCTAAGTATTTTTATGGTCACTTGCTATTTTTGAATATACGTTATTGATTTGTAGAGCGATTAAATACATTTAATAATTGGTATCAATTTTAAAAGCAAATAAAGGTTAAACCGTTGTGAAAACTCATTTCAAGTGTGACTCTGGAATGATAAGTTGTACTTTTTCTTAACAATTTATTCTATTTAATTTTGCTATTGCACTTGAAACCATTAATAAATATGGATATCAAATTACAAAGACAGAAATAAACCCTTTTGTTAAATACGTTTATTTAATTGACTGAATAATTAATAATGTTGCAAATTGCTTTGCTCTGTTGATAATGATAAATTATATACTTTTAAAATATCCATTGAACCGATCATAATTAAAAATAAATGAATTCGTGTATTAGCAGATTCTGAAATAATATAAAACTTTATGACACCATTCATCTACTTATAAACGTCAGTGTTGTTTGTCTTAAAACTTATCGATACTATACTTACATGAAAATTTCGTTGATCGTATCTATTGTTGAAACTGTAAATAAACAATACGATTTATTGTCAAGGTATAACACATAACGACCTCTGGTATGTTACTTCGAAATCACAGTTTCTGATCATAGATAAAAATTTCACGTTCCAATATTATTTTGTTAATTTTAAATTAGATAATATACATTTTCATAAAATTGATTGAAATAAGAATGAAATATGTCACGCGTGCATAAATCCGTGCATCTGTATTAAAATGCTTTTAAAAATTGCAGTATGTGTGCATTGCATAAAAGCGTCTTTCTTGCGTATAACGTAAGCACGCATATGGGTCAAAAATTAAACAATTAATAAGCCTTATTGAAGCCTCAATAGATGTTATTTTTAAAATTGTCAGATTTTTCATTGAAGCGTATAAGTAAACGTACGTAAATATATCATTTATAACACAGCAGAAGCGCCTAACATACAGAATCGATTGACTAATTTTTAAGTGTAATTACTGTAGAATCAAGTGTGATTCAGTTATCAAGTATGCAGTATATTCTCAAACTTTATTATTATTTTGATACACAAATATTCCTTTCATATATATGAGCCTCAAAGAGTATTAGTTTTAACGATCAACCTTGATAATAATGTCGGTACGAGCTGTATTAAAATGTTTCTCAGAACACTTCAATGTCCATTTTATACAACTTACACCTGACGCGAAATTCTTGGAGAAAATGCACTTTAAATGAAAAGATGGCATTCGGTTAGATTGAACTGCTCATAACTCCATTTCAAAAAAATATGTTAAATGGCAATCCTTCGAGAAAAAAAATTTTTTTATGTCTTGTTTTTTTTTTCTTTATATTAATTGCTCTTACGTAACAGACGAAAATATGAATGAAATAGTAATCGACGATGGATAAACAAAACATTAAATGCTACCAATCAATGATGAAACCACTGCGCTTACACTTTGGCTTTTCAAAGTAATAACAATGAAAATAAAGAATTTCATGATCATTCTAAAAGTGATATTATATGTGATGAAAGATATTTTTCCAAGATCCGTAACAACGAACCGATCGCATAGCGCCACTTGTATTTTGAAACATGTAAGGTTAGGAAGCAAAATAGGGAGATACAAAAAATAACGTCAAGACGAATCTCGGACACTTTTCATAGTATTTGTTATCTTAAGTATTGTACATGATTCATGATAATCTTTATTGCTTTAATAAGACATCCTCAGAAAAAGCATGCGTTTGAAAAAATGATCTAATCGACTCGTATAAGTACATTACTTACCGTTTTTGCAATTTAAATAGCAAGTGAATGAACCTTGAAATTTGTTACATTGATTGTTCGTTCATTTCTTTTATTCTTTAATTACTTTGCATTATGGAAGTAGTCAATTACTAAATAGTGACTAACAGCTAGTTTAAAATTTTTTAGATGCACTCAGTTCAAATATTGCTGGCATTTCCGTATTTTTTGAGTAGTATTAAACAAAGTCTTTTTATTGTACGTTTTTGACAATTTGCTAAATATTAGTTTTCTAATATTATATTGAAAGGCGTTCTTCATGTAAGCTAACAGTTTAGCGAGAACAAAGAAAACGTCTCAAATATTACTCTTATTATTTGCTTTATTTATAGTCGCATCGACAAAAAAGCTATTAGCGACTAAATAAAAGTTATTACAAGATCTTAACATATATATAATATGCAATTTAAAAAACAGTGCTATTTACATTGAATAACAAATACATTGTTACATTGTTTTGTATATGTACAGCAATAGAGAAGATTTAGATATTGTTATTCAGTTTAATGTCTTTCATAAATTTTATCACTGTGTTAAACACCAGAGAATCATTGAGTAGTTTCTTGATATCTTCGGGTAAATTGTTTTTTCTTCTTTATTCGTCAAAAGAAGGACATTCGCATAGAATAAGTTGAATAGTCCATCTCACTTTGCAAGAGCCACACTCAGCTGGGACATTTATTTCTAAAACGTGTTGGTGTATTAAGTGCGTGTAACCGATCCTCAGTTGTGCTATTACCATTTTTTTTTCATTGTTATTTCATTACGGGATAGCTTGTGGTCTGGAACCATGTGAAAAACATCCTCTTTAACTGAGCTTAGGAAGGTCGGACTTGAGTTATGCCATTTATTTTGCCAGAGACATAGCACTATTTTAGATAGTCGTTGAGCATGATTTAACAAGATCGCGCAGGTATCTAACACAGGCTCTTGAGCGAGAGCGGCTGATCTCAATTGAGTCGAGGACTTTGAGCAGGCTTAGGATATTGCGGTATTGTAATTTTTTCATTGATAATTTGGTGTATCTTATTTTGTAAGATCTGAATAAACTGATTTTTGATATATGGATTAAGTAATTGTTGAAAGATATAGTCTGAGCTTTTAAAGATAGTGACTTTTGAGTATTCTTGTTAGTCTACTATTTCAAGAGCTTTTCTAAGAGAAAGCATTCAGCTTCTATCTCTAAATATAAGTTAAGTAGAAGAATTTTGAAATTATACGAATCCCGGAACCTCACTTATTTCTTATCCCGTTTGAGTATATGTAATTGAGAAGTATCCGCTTGTTCTGGAGCTCTGGAATTATTGATATCTTGATATCGATAATCTCTGTCGGATTTAACGAAGGAAATGTTAATAGTATGTCTGACAGATCTATATCTAACTCTGTAATGAGGGTTGAGGGTCTTTTGGTAAATGGAAGGGGATACCGATCATTATCGATATCGCCGAGGATTTCGTCAAAAAATATTTTTTCACAATCTGGGTTATTGGGAGTAATAAAGTTTACAAGCACATTTGCACATTTAGATTTTTCTGCAATAGCTGAGAAGAGACAAGTGTGCTTCTGCCAGGATGCTAATCGAAGGGCTCGTATGGAAAGCTCCTAAGGCTATTTTTAGTCCTATTTAACATTTAGGCTACCTTAGAGATATCATATTCTACTACCATAATTTCATTTTGAAAGAACTGTAATTTTATAAGTATTTAATAGAATTTATTTGTCAGTACCCTAGCCTTTGGCAGCGAGATTTTTAATTAAATTTAATTTAGAGTTCAAGATACATCCTAGAATTTTTATTCGGTTAGTCTTTGATTAAATTGTTTTTTATTGTTAGTTTGATGTCACAGTAGCTTAGGTAGAATTTTTTACTTAATATATAATGAATTCCAATTTAGTGCTAGAAAAAAGTCACTCTTGAAGTTTGTTGTGTGAATTTTGTAATATTATTTGAGTTTCTTGTAAATTTTTATTTGAGCAATAAATTATGAGATCATCAGTAAATAGGAACAGTGCACTGTGAAATTGATGATTTACCTATGTCATTAATAGCTATTAGGAAAATGTAACACTTATTACTATTTCTTAAGGCACACCATTTTACAATATATTTATTTGAGTCCTAAATATGTCATTAAAATTTTCGGTTATGTTTCAGCATGATAATTCACTACTAACATGACTAATGAAAATGTTATAAATACCTTGACTTGACTAAATTTATTCAAGACTGCAGTTAATATAATTTGATTCTTTGGAACGAATTCTAGGGCGGTTGAACGGACGACATGTATCTAATTGTAAACAACAGTTTCAAAAATATAAAATATACTAGGCCAACCAATCCTCGATACTGCAGCAGCATCGGAAAATAATTGGCATTGTGACAGTAGTGTCAAATGGTTGCCTATTCATCGCAAAGTCAACGAATCTATAACTGAAGCATCCAGGTTATAGTAAATCTTAAGGAACTCATGAAAATGTGCTTGTCTGATCGAAGTCCTAGGTATTTTTTTTTATTTCAACATAACTAACTATCTGGTATCTGTAGCTTATTAAGCAGTGGCTAATAGCTAGCAAGTATTATAAATACATACCATTCTAATGTTGATATACTGCACACGCACAGACATTTTTTTCCACGATGCCATTAATCGAGTTTTTCCAAGAGCAGAAAACAGCGTGTAGGAATACCGTTGGTATTTCATCGCGGGAGTGGGATACTTTTTTAAAGTGACAACAGCTTTAAGGGTCAGCTTCGAAAACGTCGAGTATGCACACTGCTATTGCAGCTACATCCGCACCATTCCGGAAGGTAAATTTTGGAAGTGCGCTTCAATGGCGATCGGCAGTATTTTTGATCCCAGTCACAATGCAGCAACGATGGTGCTCAGGCCTCCGCTTGAAGATTGTATAATTTTATAATCACAACATGAGTTCGTGTTTCTTTCAGGTGAAATGAGGTTTCGAATTAGGCAAAAATTTGCCATAACCTTCAGTGCTAGTGATGACAACGATGAAGTAAACATGATAGAAGCGCTACTATACGAGTTACTGCACCAAGTGTAAACTATTGCTGAAAGTCCTTTGCGTCAAGAAAGCTCTAGTTCACATAACAAACATTTTTGAACAAGGGCAATGAACTATAACACCATTGATGCTAAGCTTCTCTGAGGTATTAGTAAGATCGCCGGTAGAAACACAAGTGGATGTAATTGCTGAGTTGGTCACATGTAATGAGCTCAGTAATTCGCTGTTACTGATGAATTACTTTAACAAAGGGAATCTGCGAATCTTACGCTCTCCAAATTTATCGACGGCTCTGCCTCAGGAACGTATAGGTTCAAGTGAAGATGGAACAAGTGAAGAGCATTGTGTTCATGATCGTTGTCAGGAGAAGAGAAACGTAGACCAAGTCATTGCCGAGTACATTGTTAGAACTTGACCGTTTGGAAATCGCTCAAAAGCAAAGGGCCGCTTTCGTATTCAGCCATGAAAAAGATTTAATCAACAAATGATTGAGGTCTATATCTGATTACACAAGACCCGTATAAAACATTTGACGTCATAGAATTGCGGGTGATAGCGGCCATTAAGCGACGACCAATTAAAACGATAAGTCGAAAAACGAATGAAGTTGTCCCCTGTGGCGTTGTTTGCAGATGTATGTATAAATTATTATTATTAACATCATTATTATTATTAAATAATGATGATAATGATGATAATACATAATCGCTTTAAAGTGGTAATTTTAAATGTTCTTCACATTTTTATCCGCATTCGCTTATTGAGATCAATCATGTAAATTCAATAATCAAACACGTCTTAAATTAAAAGAAGTAATCTGACATTGTTAAGATCTACGTATCGCATAAGGCCAGATATGTGTAATAAAAGAGAAATTCTATTATCTGAGTGTAAAAGGTTTACTAAATATAAAGTTAAAAAATAACTTTCAGGACACCGTATACTAATTCATTTTACGCATTAAAACAGGCTAACCGATGTATCAATGTCAAAAACCGATGTATTGTGGATGCCCTCTTACATTTGACAGATACTATTTAAAAATGTAATAATATAGTATATTAATATCCTAATGTAAAAAAGGTTCTATTAAATAAAAACATCGATAAATTTACTGTGAAGCCTATAAATTATCGGTTTAATAAACGGTGAATACAGTTTATAATGAAATTAAAATAATCAACTGTTTTACGTTCATGATAAGCTATAGGACTGATGGAAATCGATTTCAACTCATTTCGTTAATATATTTGTTTATAAGTTATGAGCTCAGTAAATAAATTAAATTAATTAATCGTTGATAAAATCACGTAACCATCATTGTAACTATTAGTTTCTTAGTTGTTCAGATTTTTTACCTCTTTCACTTACATTACTCACACTCACCATTTCTACTCGAGTGTTTCCCCAAAAACATTGATACCCTGTCAGTAGAAGCAGTCATATGTTTTGCTTCTATGATAGGTCCAGATAGAGTACAACGTATTTTTTGTATTTCTCTATATTATTTGTTTCTCTACAAAAATTCGTGGTTCTAGATTTGACGAAACGTATAACTAATAAAAGCAATCAGTACCTTGTTCTATAACCATGTAGAGCTATAGAAAGTTCATTAATGCAATGATTTATGAACTTTAAGACATTAATCTCTATCTTGACTTTAGGACAGATTTTTTTATAAAATGTAAATAATAAAATAAAAATTTAAATACTCTATCAACCAAGCCATGCCGTTTTCTTATTGCTCGCTTGTAAAAAATTTTATACTTTGCTAGCAAATGTACTCTTATTATACATTTTTCATAGCAATATATAGTGTATGTTAAACTATACTTGCAATTTTCAATATACAGTATTTCGGTTTTTGAGGAATACTCAAATTCAAATACTCATAAATTGATTAATATATAAAACTAAAACTCTATGAATATATTAATGTTATTAATAATGATGTTTTGCTGTATAATAAATAATTACTGCCATGATTGGTTTCAATAGAAATACATTATCAATATTTGTTAGCACGAAGTTTGATACTCTCTTTCCTTAATTTTTTCTGGAACAGAGACTGAGATTGATTCTCCAGTTATGGAAATCACAGAAAATTTCCTAGTTTGATCAGGTATTGGTTGGCCATTCGGGTAGTTCCATAACTGAATTTCGCCACTACCAAAGATCATAAAGAACAAATTCGTAACGAAGTAGATTCCAGCGGTAATGTAGAACATAATATGCCATTGTGATATATCTGCCTGCAAAATAAATAAATTTGCCTAAGTAAAATTGTAATCCTATAGTTTTCTACAGGATTGCAATTTCTCATAGGCTCATAGGAAGAAGAAGCTCAGAAGAAACCGTGTCATGTTAATAAATGTATTCTAAGCCTTACCTCATCATATACGATGGCCCCACAGATTAACGGTGCAAAAATACTAAAAATGTTAGCTACTGCATTAGTTAAGGACATCATAACACCCGCGAAATTTGGGCTCAAATCAATATGATTAATCTGAAAACCACAAGTGATGCCACTATTGAATCCCACTGCTACAGCCAAAATTGAAACGAGAATGCTAGTTTTATTCGTAGTAATTACGGATAAAACTATCAAAGCAACAGCTGGAATCCAGAGACCAATAGTATTGCTAATTTTACGGACAACAGCGATAGTCACATTTTTGCGGAGTGCATAGTCGCAAATCCAACTAATTGGGAAACCCATAAGCCACATCATTAAGTACGGTAGAGCTGAGACCAATCCACTCTATAATTACAAATAGAAATTAGTAAATTAAAAAATTTTAAGAGTTTTTTAAAAACAACCATTCCTGGTTAATCTTAAAGTTAATGTTATTTAAAAAAATAATACTTTTTAGGCTCGGTATTTCTAATTACATAAAAAAGTTTCTAATGGTATATACAAATTTTCCTTGGATATTGGTGAATAAATTTCCTTAAAAACATATAATTAGAAAAATTTTGAATACTTACACTTGAAATATCATAATTAAGCGCATTCTTCATATAAGCTGGTAATTTTGTAAGAAGTAAGTAAAATCCAAAACTATATCCTGAGTGGACGATCAATATAGACCACATGGGCAGAGATGTCAATATAGATTTCCAAGGTACTTTTGACTTCTAGGAAAAATATTAATTTTTTCGTAAAGTTCTCTCCATAATGATGTATTGAAAACATATATTAAAAAGAAGCTATACCTTAACTTGTTCAATTTTGCACGAGTTTCCAAGACTATTGTTAATATAATTTACTTCTGTGGGACAGATCCTAGGATGATCCGATGGGCGGTCCGCGCCCAAATAAAAAAATAGAACACTCCAAGCGATAGCGACCGCTCCAAAAATATAAAATACACTGGGCCACCCAATCCCAGATGCTGCCACAACACCAGAAATTGGCATTGTCACAACAATACCAAAGGGTTGGCCATTCATTACTAATGAACCTAAAAATTAAATTATATAAAATATATAATTTGTATTACTAGTATATTCCAAGGATGAATGAGAATCAAAATCTAATTTTATGTATTTACATATATCACTAATTTAAAACCAGATTTTATTAAATTTCTTTTTCAAATTTAACGATACACGAATAAGAAATTTATTTCCATAGCTGTATCTGACCTAGTTCACTTTCTTTACTTATTCTTTTCCATGAATTAACTAATTATGGTATATATTCATGACAAAATGATGAAAGCTATACATAAAAACTTTAAAATTTTCTTGGTGCGATTTCACACTATTCATATGTAATATGATTGACAAATAATTAATTGAGAAGTTTCCTAAAATAAATTTTCTACTACTATAGATCCTTTTGAGAAATATAATGTTTAGCACTTTTATAACAAGTATGTCACTTTTGTCGTGCTAGTTAGCTTAAAATGTTGAATTCTGTATTTTTTTATGTTGTTTTTTAGCTTGATAAAGAAAATTAATTATATTTCTGAAACTTTTAATTTCTAGATAAAGATATATTGTTCAAATGGATTTGTGGGAGCCGAGGAATTTATTTCTGAAAACTACTCAAATTATTCAAAAACTTTGCTGATGGTGTAGTAAATTTAAAGAATGATTTAGTAAGCGGAATATCTGAAAATGCATTTGTTCGATCCTAAATTTGAAAAAAATTTGTTTTGCGTACATAATTAATTTTATATGATCATAGCATAGCCATACTATAGAATATTTTCCATAATAGAAAAGAAGTATTTTTCTGGTTACGTAAATCAGTGTCTGATAATTTTGAGAAATCAATAAGTGAATTGTACCTAGTCGAGCTCTTTCTAATGGTGGTACCCAGCGTGAAAGTAAAGTCTGTGTGCAAGGTAGTAAACATGCTTGGAGTAAACCCATGACGACTCTGCTGACAATGACAGGTATGTAACCATACTGAGCCAAGAAGGGTGTAAATATATTAATGATGGCACTCATTCCTAATCCGAAAGCCAAAAGTTTTCGAGCACTATGAGTGTTTGCTATATGCCCAGCAGGAATCTGGGTCAATACGTAACCCCAGACAAAAGAGCTAAGGATCATATTTTTTTGGTACGAATTCCAGTCATATATCTGTGAACAATTAGAAAAGGCCTTAGTTTTAAATATAATTTGTAGGAATTCTGAAATAATACATAAGTATAATATTGAACAGAAGTATGTTTTTATTAAATAAACTGAAACTGGTGGTTTATTAAATCAAAAGACGACTTCAAAATATATCTCACTTGTACAGCTTACGATCGACAATACTATCAGATGTATAAATCATAACCCGCGAGTACATTTTGATCCGACTTGTCTGATTGACTCTGATTAACTGTCACGGGCATAATATAAAACCTAATATAATAAAAGTGCAATCAAAATGCTAATACACACAGCAATTCTATATGTCGATTATTCAATGACATGAAATTATCAAAGCTTCGTAATCTCTCTCGTACACGCACTCATTTTTCCATTTTCCACTACAGAAAAATTTGTAATGCACATTTTTTTTTCCTCTTTTGATTCTTCGTGTTCTCGTAGACGCTCAACTCTCACAAGTTACACACTTTCAAAAAACATGCTTCAAACTAAACATAAAATATTTAAATGGTAGAAAAATCCACATATGCGTAGCACTTGATGAATTACTATTTTTATTTTTTCTCATTTTCAACATAATTTAACGTATGATAATTCAGATTTGATCGAAATAATAAAAATGGTAGTTGTAAAATGGCTCACTAGTATTAATTGAGGTATTCTTACATGAACGTCAACAATCGTTACTAAAACCTTCGAAAATGAATTTCTCAAAGTCAAAGTTGCAAGGATAACAATCCTCGGTGGCTTGCGATAGAGAGTAAGTGTATTTTGATAACAATTAGAGATTTCAATCATCAAGCAACGAACATATTCTGCTAAGTATGGTCGAATTATCTGGGAAAGGTCGGACAGCGTCGCAACAAAAACTTAGCCGATTTTCGAGGCTATATTGATATGATTGTATGAGGAGATAGTCTAAGGCTACTTTTTTCTTATAAGCGAGAGAGACTCTTATGAGTTGAGTTCTTAGACTTGTTATGTTAGCAAGGCTAGCCACTGAATAATTAAAACGGCTGAAAGTGGCTCTCAGAAAATGGCTGAGACTTTATTTCGTTTGAGCAGTGCCCGCTCTGCCAGGCAAGGTTATATTAGAATTCCTGTTCTTGCAACGACGAGTGAATTTCATCGTGCACGCGAAGTGAAAAGTTTGTGATATAAAACAATCGAATTGAAAACGCTGAATCTTATGATATAAATCGATTCTCGGGAAAAAAAATCGCCTTGCACAGTTATAAACAAATAAAATTAATTAAGCGAATAGGACAAAATTTACAATAAAATCATACGAATTTTTTACACCAAAAATTATTTATAATATGCGGAACATTATTCGAAATCAAATTTGCCAATTTAACGAATCTGTAAATTATTTCCTTTTCAAATATAAAATCGACAATCGGATAACACTCGTTTTTACTAATTTTACCAGTATGTACAGTTGGATCGGTATCTCGCAACGTAATTTTAAATGTTTAAATAAATTATTAATTTTTTGTTTATTGATAACTTTGTTAAAAAATCAGTTATCAATGAATCCAATTTTTGCTCCTCTTTCTTAAGCTGCCAGTTTCGCTGTGCGATATTCAAATTTCACATAGATGTAATGTCACACTCCTTATATGGTAATGATTTTGATCAAGTGCTCTAACACATCTAAACGTATATGTGAGGTAACGCCTTAGTTTTGATAGCACTTTTCCTCATTTTCGAGTGTGTGGCGGATTGCCGTTATACAGTGAGAAACAAAAATAAATTACACCGGACTGTGACAATGTATTATATTACATAGTGTTTCCTATTGACTGACTGATGCAGAAAGAAAATAATAAAATAAAAATCACTGGGCTTTTGAAAAATATTAATATTTACATACCGGAACGTCAATTTTACTTTTACTATCAGTCATAGCCTCAAGTCCCACTGACATACAGACTCTGAGCGCATAAGCTATCACCATTCCCAGGAACAATAAGAACACTTGAACATGCCTCGAACCGAATTTGTCTATAATAGAACATGAATGATTTTATGACATTAATTTTGTAGTAATAGCAGTAACATTTCAAATAGAATTTTAATTTATTGAATAGACATATTTTAAAAAGAAACAATCAGTCCCAATAATGAAAATACTGAAAATACTTGGAGGATGATGATCTTCATCCTTGACATCGATCATTATACTTTGTCTTATTAATTTGCACTTTCTATTAAAAAATAAAAGTATTGTAAGGTTCAAAGGCTAATATAACACTGTCATATTTTATCAAGAGAAAATAAATTTATTACATCGGACAATCAGATTACGTTGATTTTACAAGTTATCAGTAATGGAAGGCATGTCGTGCTCTTAGATTACATAACTCATTCGCAAATGTGCAATTCGATATTATTTAATTATAATTAAAAAGTTTCTATTGTACAATATATCAATAACCAATGTGAGCTGGTTCTACAATATTAAGAATCAGTTATCGTTAGAGCGATGGGCAGAGTTTATAATCAAACTAATCAGTTACGTAGTTTTGCTTTCTCGTACAATCAACAAATTAACCATTAGAATCAAACAGATATGTATACAACTTTTTAATCTTTATATTTAAACCATGAAACTCCTAAAATATAATATAACTGCTCCTATCAATGTATACATTTACAATTTATAATGGTTCATAAATTACAGTTGTAAAATCATAAAGAACATTGCTCGAATAAATTTTCTACTTTTCTTTCTAACATCCTAGTGAATTATCATTTCTGCGCATGAAGAAATATAAAAGTTAATTAACCTGCGTAACTTTAAATAAACATATTTAGTAATATTACTATTTCTATTTTTCATTATTCACATAATTAAAGTATTTGTACTCAAAAGGAGTATAATTCGAACAACCGCAACGTATAGACGATCGGTTATGACTGTTTTTTTGACTCGTGAAATTCATTCTCCTATAAGTGTTTGACTATGGTTTGTTGTTTTTAGTTTTTGTTTTTATTTGGATCTCAAGAGGTCATACCTTAGTGGCAAAACGCACGTCATCCAGAATTAATTAATTTCTTTCAAAGGACTTATTCTTTCATCTTTGAGAAAATATACTTTAATTACATATTTAGTAATAATTACTTTAGCCATACATGGTTTATATATTTATTCACAAAAATCTGGTATGTACCCCTAGTAGTATGAGACTTTAATGCAGTATTAATTGTCAAAGTGAATACTTATTTTACATATCCATGAATATTTTTGATGAAACTAAAAACCGATTTTTTTCTGCATCTATAAACATTTTAGAAAATAATTACTTTTGGATAATGATTTCATACATTTTTGAGCCATCGTTTTAGTGCTTATTAGTCATCTCGGAAAAGAAATGACGTGTGATTTTTAAAAAAATGTTATGTGTATTTTTGTTAGTTCAAAATCAATCATTTCTGATGCCGCCTCTCTCATGTAGAGAGAGGCTTCATATATAAAAGACAAACTTTTTAGTTTGAATTTTTTTTTAATTTCCATGGTAATAGATGTCAATGAAATTCATAAACATTCCTCATACTCTGATCTCTCATAGGTTTCAATTTCCCCGATCTGTGTAATTTAACCCATTAACGCTCACAGGACGGTTTTTCGAGACCTGAGTTTGAACTATTCTCATGTCATGAATTCTCGTGGAAAAAATTCAGGAACCATTGTTTCTTATATTTTCGAGTGTCCTCTTTCCAATGATGCTGGTTAAAATTGTCGCTGAAAAACTTTTACGGTCCAAAAATCAAAAATAAATAAAAAAAACATGATTTTCTGATTTAATTTTTTTTTTAAATCGACTTTTCGTTCCCTAAGCATTTTTTTTAATGCCTAAAACCCTTATAGATCGCGGCCTCGAGGTTTTAACTACAAATTACTATGGTTCTCCGGATATGAAAATTTTTCGTATAAACAAAATGGCGGCCGAAGTTAAAATATTTAACTAAAACTTTACAAATTTTTTTCTCGAATACTATAGATTTTAATGAAAATTTTTAAAGAACAAAAATGTCTTAGAATTAGTTATAAAATACTCTCAAATTTTTTCAGAATCATCCGAGAAAATTTTGGGATTTCGGAAAAGTCTCTGAATTGAAAATTTTAAAATTATGTCGGAAAATTTTGAAATAATTTGAGAGCGTTCTTTGTTTGTTTTTTAGACATTTCTATTCTCAGAAAAACTTTCGTAAAGTGCATGGTTTTTGGTAAACAAAATATTTATTTAGCAAACTTTAACATTTTTTTTCTCGAAAAGTATACTCTTTAGGAACATTTTTCTGAGAATAGAAATGTCTTAAAAACAAACAAAGAACGCTCTCAAATTATTTCAAAATTTTCCGACATAATTTTTAATGAAAAAAATTTGTAAAGTTTTAGATAAATATTTTCACTTCGGCCGCCATTTTGTTTATACGAAAAATTTTCATATCCGGAGAACCATAGTAACTTGTAGTTAAAACCTCGAGGCCGCGATCTATAAGGGTTTTAGGCATTAAAAAAAATGCTTAGGGAACGAAAAGTCGATTTAAAAAAAAAATTAAATCAGAAAATCATGTTTTTTTTTATTTATTTTTGATTTTTGAACCGTAAAAGTTTTTCAGCGACAATTTTAACCAGCATCATTGGAAAGAGGACACTCGAAAACATAAGAAACAATGGTTCCTGAATTTTTTCCACGAGAATTCATGACATGAGAATAGTTCAAACTCAGGTCTCGAAAAACCGTCCTGTGAGCGTTAATGGGTTAATGTAACTAGTGAACTTCCTTAAGTTGTATTAATTAATTACATGTATATATTAATCTAACAAAAAAATGCAATTTAAATTTTATTTCATCATAGAAAATACATTAAAAAGTTCCTAATAAATTTATAGCTATTCCTATGGTATGCAGTATATAACATAATAAATTAGGAAAATTGAGCAGCCTTAAGTACAAAATCAATTCAATTTGATCATCTACAATCTAAGATCATTTGTTAGAAAAAATCGAAGGAAAGATTCTTTTCAAGGAAATTGAGATATTTTATATATTTTATATAGTTAAAAGTATAAAAGTGAAGAAAAAACTTCGAACAATTGATAATTTAGTAATAAATTAAATGTATTGATCAATAAAATATTCATGATCAAAGAATTATGTTTTTCAATAATCATTGCCGTTGCAACGGTATTTTCGATACCTATATATATTTTGGAATAAAATGGCAATGACAATTGATGAATTTCAAAACGAGCTTAACAATTTTTTTTAACAAAATAAATTTTATAACTAAAAATATTTACATTTTACTTAATGATACATTAATTATTATCTATGAAATACCAAAATATCATTTCTAGTTTAATATATTTTCTATTATATTTTAATTTATTAAATAAACTAAATTTACAAATTATTCATAGTCAAACTATAGGGCACATATACAAAATCAAACATAGTAATGCAAAAATATAGGTAATTGTAAAAATGTAACAATCTGAATATCAGATCTAAAAATGATATAGTAATATTATAGAAGAAATAAAGTAAACCAAATGATCTCATATTTCAAGATCAATATTCTAAAGTATACTTTTAACACAGTGTTTTAATTTCTTCTTCGTTGATTTTCTCTGGAACGGTTACTGAGATTGGTTCTCCGGTTATCGAAATCACGGAAACTTTTCTAGTTTGATCGGGTATTGGTTCATTATCAGAATAATTCCACGACTGAATTTCTCCTCTGCCAAAGATTATAAAGACCAAATTCGTTGCGAAGTAAATTCCGGCTGTAATGTAAAACATAATGTGCCATTGCGAGGAGTCGGCCTGCGAAAACAAAAGATATTTGTTAATAATATATGTGAGTGTTATCGATACAATTTATCAGAAAATATATATTTTTATTAGAAATTATAAGTTCATTAAATCGGAAATATTTGTGGCACCTAATACGGTTCATGAGAACTGTTATGCGATACAATAAAACGATATTTTACAATTTGCGTTTAAAATTGATTGTGTAAAGAAAACATTTTGGTATACATTTTCAGTGATGTATTATAAGACAGATCATTAAATACTTAAGACATTATTATAATATAATTTAGAGTTACATAATTTTCATAAAAGTTTACCTCATTGGTGACGACAACCCCACAGACTAAAGGTGCAATTATACCGAAAATATTAGCTGCTCCGTTGGTCATAGACATCATAATTCCAGCAAAGTTAGGACTTAAATCAATATGATTGATTTGAAAACCGCAAGTAATACCACTATTGAATCCCATAGCTATAGCCAGAATTGCAACGAGAATGATAGAATTGTTGGTCGTAATCAACGACAAAATGATCAGGGCAACAGTCGGTACCCAGAGACCGATGGTGTTGCTGATTTTACGCACAACAATAAGAGAAACATTGTGACGGAGTGCATAATCGCAAACATAACTAATTGGAAAACCTAGGATCCACATGGCCAAGTATGGTATGGCTGATGCCATGCCACTCTGAAAATAAATATCAAGTTTTTATCAAATATTGCTGGAAAAATTCTCAGAAAAATGTATCTAGATAATTTAGAATATTCACATTTGAAATGTCATAATTAAGTGCATTTTTCATGTAAGCTGGCAATTTTGTGAGAAGTAAGTAAAACCCCCAATTATGCCCAGAGTGGACAATAATTAGTGACCACATTGGTAGAGATGTTAATAAAGATTTCCAAGGTATTTTCGATTTCTGAAATAAAATTTAATTTTTTTGTAATTTTCAAGCAATCATTCGCAAGAAATGCATTATTCATAAAAAAATACACACCGAGAGTTGTTCAACTTTATTTATATTACCGAGACTACTATTAATGTAATTAGCCTCTTTGGGACAAATTCTTGGGTGGTCAGACGGACGATCTGCGCCTAAGAGAAAGAACAAAATACTCCAAGCAATTGCGACCGCTCCAAAAATATAAAATACACTGGGCCATCCAATACTCGATGCAGCCACGGCACCAGATATTGGCATTGTGATAACAGTACCGAATTGGGGTCCATTCATTACCAACGAACCTGATAATTACATATCACAATTGTTATAAATTCTAATATTAATATATGGTTATCATGGATAGAATGTCGACATATTATTAATCGATTCGAATATTTTGTAATGAGACAGATGAGTAAAAAATCAACATGTAATGTTTACCTAGCCGAGCTCTTTCTAATGGTGGTACCCATCGTGATAGTAAAGTCTGGACGCAAGGCAACAAACAGCCTTGAACCAAACCCATGGCAATTCTACTAGCAACAACTGGAATGTAACCATACTGAGCTAAAAACGGCGTAAACAAGTTAATAATCGCACTAATCCCTATTCCACAAGCCAAAAGTTTTTGAGCACTTTGACTGTTTGCTATTTGTCCAGCAGGAATTTGTGTTAATACATATCCCCAGAAGAAGGAACTTAGAATCATACTTTTTTTATCTGTACTCCATTCATATATCTGTAAACGATTGAAAGAAATGTTTTTATTGTTTTTATATAATTTAAATAAATAGTCAAACAAAAATTAAAGTTTTTTTAGATTAACTCCACATAGAGTTTGTTTGATTACTATAGATTAGCTGCTGTAGGAAATAGAGAATAATTTCTTTATCATAGATATTTGACTTTTTGGTTATCGAAAAATATAGAACAACCATATCAAAATAATAGTTTAAGATTGATAATAATATATTTTTAAGAAAAGTCTTTATATAAAAATTGTGGTATCAACTTTTTTACATAAGTTCGATAACATTGATTTGAAATGTCTCATTGATGGATTATTAAATATCTTGCAAAATTAATGTGATTATTGTTGATAAATATCTATAAAACGATTTATTAATACAACAAATATAATCAATTATAAGTACACTGAAATACATTTTTTTATCTCATTAATTTAACGCCCATTAAAACGCATTACATTATGAATCCAGAATTATTTTGTTGATTAAATATTTTATTTGCTCAAACAAACAACAGATACTTGAGTTAAAAGCCAAAAATTACAAGAAATATAACGTAAAAGATATGTTTTATTTGCATAAATAAACATTACGTACCGGAAAGCTGCTTTCACTTTTATTATCAGTCATAGCTTCGAGTGCAACTGACATACAAACTCTAAGCGTATATGCTATTGCCATTCCCAGGAATAACAGAAAGACTTGCACATGTCTCGAACCAAATTTGTCTATTAAATAGAAACGACTTTATGGCATTAATTGTTCAATAAAAATAGTAATAAATCTTTATTTATTAATTAAATAGTCATATTCTAAATGTAGAACGAAAACCAAATTTTAATTAGTAAGAAAACAAAAAAATTACTTAGTGGTTCATTGTGTTCATCAATGGAATTAATCATGTTAGTTGCTTTCAATACACTTCACTTCGATGCAATCAATCTTGCCATGCGTATTTCCCAACTTGTTTACTCTTGGAACGCGAAAAGAACTCTGGAGAACCTTATTAAAGTATAATCAGATTTCGTTAGCTGTACACCCAGTTATCACAAATCAATTGAATCTTGTAAATACTGTCATAAAGATAAATGTTATAATTATCTTTTACGATAAGTATTAGAAAAAACAAACATAATAGACCATATATTATATATAACATGAATGTTGAACTTGTTGATATTGGCTCTTTGACTATTTATGTTTAAAATATGTATTTAACCTTTGTTGATACAACACAGAAAAAAAATGTGAGTATTTAAAAGTCATCGGTAACGAGATTTGATACATTATTTGATATATTAATCGCAAAAAAATACCTATTTTTTTAATATATTAAAAATGGGTATATCAACGCGTACCTTCATACAATAGTACATTACGACGCAAATGCGGGAAAGTAGATTCTTGTCTCGTGTGGCTTTTACGCCTGAGCTAAGCGAGGGTTGGGTTGGGTGGGAAGATACACGAGACGAGAAACTCTTTCCCGAATATGTGCCGTACCGTATTTTTTGATACGACGTGTGGAAAGTGCGATTTTCAACGCACGTTTTCTGCCGAACGTGCGGGAAAGGCGCACTTTGCGCACGGAGTATTGAACAAAATATCCTTTTATTTCATGCTATTTCTACTAAGATATATCTATTAAGATTAAAATTATATTACATACACTGTAGTTATTTCTTAAATAGTTTTATGAAATCGACGATGATTTAAGTTCAAGTTTCTAATTGATTAATATTTTCCCTAAACATTGAATTAAAAATAAAATTGCGTTGCAATCAACATCGTATAAACTGTCATTGTTTAAATAATACGGTTGCTATTGTTGAGAAGACTAACAATTAATTACTTCGTAAGACTCACGTAGATAGTAAAGTAAATTTCATAGTACCGTAGTGTCACATGAAAAAGTCACTTTCTAATAATTTTTATTAAATTTCTAATTTTACAGTATAATGAAAATTTGAATTTTTTAGTGACGTTCCTTACAGTAAATATTTCATCAGTCTGACTTTATACATTATCATTTGAAATTTATCGATGTATTATACATATGATACTTAAAAAAAAAATAGCACAATAAACTTACAAATCCATTCAGTTTATTAGCAAAAATAAATAACTTTAATCTTAACCAAGCAAAATATTTCTTCTTTTTTTCTAGAAAATATGTTGAGTTGAAAATAATAATAGACTTATTATTTATAATTGTTTACGTAACATATATTTGAGCTATTTTGTCGAACACGGAAAAGTACTTTTATTTTACTAATGATATTTTGAAAGTGACGTATTCTTATTAAACTCGATCGATTATGATATTATATTTCAAGGAGCCGAAAAAGATTATAGAAGAATAATAATTTATTACCTATAAATTTATATAATCTGTTATATAATTATCTCAATAACTAATATCAGTTGTCGTAGATTATATTTTTCATTTATTTATCGATTATTGTGACCGGCTGAAAATATATCAACTGAACTTGCTCTTATATTGACTAAGTATATTTGTCATTACATAATTTTACCGTCAAAATAATATGCTATGTTAATTATACATTTGTATAATTAAAATTTAAATTAATTAATTATATAGAATATCCTTACTGGTGCAATTATTCAATTATTTTTAAACGTTTTATAATGAAGTAAAATTAAGGAGCTACTTTCCATTCATTACATTACTTTCTCTTACTGATATCGAAAATTATAAATACAATATATATGCGTAACAAGAGAATCGTACTAATATACGTTGAATGATACTTCTCAAAAAGCATATACATGAATATCCTTAGTACAGATAAATTTATTTAATTAAGCATCGTTGTTGAAAATTTAACAACTTTAAAAGTCATTTAATACATTTCTCAATTACGAAAATAACATTTTACCAAATTTACAATCAACATCATCTTACTTTGAATATTTACATTGTGCGTGCCATAGACCGATGTACAGTAATAACAACTGAAAGTATTCAACATAAAATTTATTTACTTTGATATATAAAATTTTAAAAAGTTTCTTATATGAGTTTATTTATGATAAAGCATCAATGTTATCTATATTATTTTTAGTAGAGATCGTTAGTTAATTAACACTCAATTTTTTATTATCTGAAGCTTTACTGGAAAAAGTAAATTAAAAAATTATCTTACAATCCTAAATATAAACAAATTAAGTATTTTGTTATCGTCAAAATATAAAACTCAAAAGGTGCTAATTTAAAGTAATGTATATTTCTATAATATAAAAAACGCGATTATATAATCTTACTTACATCCGTGTCATATATTATTTATAATATCCCAAAGGATTATTTGCTACAATCAACGCACGGAAACCCTTTTTATAAAGATATAAAATAAGTAATTTACATTTCCAACTATTCAGCTCTACCGATGTATCTGCAAACAATGGAAGCTCTCTTCAGAAGCGATTTTCATAACAATTAAAATCAATTTCGTAAAAATAAATGGAAGATTATTTTTAAATACAAAGTTGGTACTGTTATAAACGATTCCTTTTCATCCGAACATAATGCTAAGATACTGTAGACAGTACATGTTCATAGACAAAACTAATTCGAATTGTAAATGAGATTTCTGGTACGAAGATTCTAGCAATCAAATCCGTGATACATATTATTTATTCCCTTGACAATGCATTCAAAAAGTGGAGTGTTGATTTATTTAAAAAACCGTTATTTAGAGCTAAACTTTATTTTGCATAAATTATTTTAACATCAAGAAATAAATTATTATGTGTATCATTAAATGAAAAATTCATTGTTCAACAGTTTTAGGAAAAACAATATTTTCTGACGAACTTTTTCCGACGTTCGAACCATAACTGATGACTGAGAAAGTCATGCAAACAACGATGATTAATTTTGTAAATCTTAATCTACGTAAGTTATAGACCAACGATAGATTCGTATCGTAATTTACTCATCTCTCGGAATTTGATTTTTTCTTAAAAACAAGTACCAACTTGTATTGGGTATAAACATTTATTAAATTAAAAAGTTATGAAAATCTTTTCTAAACATCAAAGCAGACAGGCTAAGTACATTTATCCTCAATTCATAAAATATTGACACACATCAAATCACTAAGTAGGGTTCGTATTGCGAGAAAATTACGTTCGGAATAAAACTACAATAAAATCGCAAAAAAAAAATTTTCAGTTTATTAATATGATCTATTGCTATCTAGGTGCTTTTAATGTGTATATATATAATATGATTTATAGAATAATAGAGTGCATATGTACAATGATGAAATGCAATTATTACATTAATGATCACAAATATTGAAATGAATGATCAAATACTAAAGAAATGTTATTCAAATATTTGAAAATGAGACGTCAAGGCACTGAAGCTAAAATTTTTGTATCGTATAGCGACACAACCGATAGCCTTTTGATTGGATCCGCAATGTTTTCGATGTTTTTTTCGTTCCATGACTGAGTATTTCCCTGTGCAAGAAGAACATAAATAAGATTGGTGATGAAATAAGTGGCAGCAGTTATGTAGAAAACTGTGTGCCAAGGGCCAGGATCGTTCTAAAATATAATATTAACACAGTTAAGATTTGATCGGAAAATGTCACGAAATAAAAGCAAAAGTGTATTTTAAAAACTGATGAAAGAATTTGAAAAATTATCCCTACCGTGTCCTGCGTGATGGCACTGCAGACGATCGGTACAACAATGCTGACAAAGGTGCTGAGGCAATTGCTGATGGCGTACATCGCGCCTGCGAAATTCGGACTGAGATCGATGTGATTAACATTGAAACCACAGATGATACCAGCCGTAAGAGCACCAGCCATGGCGAGCATAGCAATCGGCCAAGCCTTGCCGAGAGTGTCAACGAAGCACAGTATAATTAGCACGACCGCTGCACCCCACATAGCAACCGTGTTGCAGATCTGTCGTACTACTCTAACGGACATGCCTTTGATCACGGCGTAGTCGGCAAACCAACTGTATGGGAAGCACAGCACCCACGAGGCTATGTAGTAGACCGATGATATCAAACCATTCTGTAAAGTTTTAAGCAGCTTTGAGCTGATTGTTTGTAAGCGATGGTCCGCTGTGCCATAAAAACTACTGTACCTCTGTCATTCCGAATTGCAGAACGGACTTGATGTACTCCGGTATTTCCGTCTGGATGGTGTAGCTTCCCCAATTGGTGCCCATGTGAGCAAAAATTATTCCCCACATCGGCAGAGAAGTCATAATTTTTTTCCAGGGTAGACGTGGCTTCTACAAAGACCGAGTAAACAGCCGTTATCTACATCGGTCTGTTTCAAAACAACAGTGTACACTCACATACTTCTCCTCTTCTTCGGCGCAGCTCAAGCTTTCCATAATGTAATTTTTCTCCGCCTGACTGATCGACGGGTGAAATGCCGGGCCGTCGGTCACGTTAAAGTAGAACATAATACTCGTAACTAAACCTGCACTACCGAAAATGTAGAAGATACCTGGCCAACCAACACTCGAGTCTGCTATCAGACCGGATAAAGCCATTGCCAACACCGTTCCCAAAGAGGTCCCGGATGAGATGTAGGCACCTGCGTGATTAATTTTTTTTTTTTTTTTCATTACTTTGACGATTCATTGTCCGCAATAATTTCGATAATCTAAAGGTGCCGCAAACGCTAATGTAGAGCACGAAAAAAGGGAACAAACTGAAGCAAGCAATAAATCATTCCACAGATTGTGAAGCAAAATCGATAAGATAAATATTACCGAAAAATATACTTACTAATACGAGATCGCTCAAGAGGTGGAGCCCACTTGGAGGTGAGCACATGTATGGACGAGAGGAAGCAAGCCTGGAACAATCCGACGGCCACACGGCTAGCGCAAACGGCAACGTAACCGCCGTAATCGGCCAAAAATGGAGTCGAGAGGGTGACCAGGCTACTGAGGAAGAGGCCGATGGAGAAAAGCTTGCTTGCCCGCCACGTACTCGCTAGGTAACCACTTGGTACTTGCGATGCCGCGTAGCCCCAGAGAAAGGCACTGAGAATTAGTCCTTTATCCTTGAAGTTCCAGTCGTACGTCTGAGGAATGACATTTTATTGCGTGTAAACGTCAGCGAGACTAATTGACCAATGCAGCACGAATTTCTATTTAATTTGACATTCTATTATTTTGTGCACGTACTCTGAAACCATTGTTTTCATTCTTGTTTGTCATTGCTACAACTGCAATGGATATTGAGATTCTCATGCCATAGCCGACGATAAGACTCAAAGACATCAAGATCGTTTGCACATGGCGAGTGCCAAATTTTCCTGAAATATTTAATTATCGTATTTAATGCATGTTGGCTTTCAACGCATTTTTTGACCATAGAAATTGCAAAATATTTAATGACTGGGATAAACCAAAGGCTTCTTAAGCAATTGTCATATCTGTTCGAAATGGATGGATTAATTTTGAAATAGATCACTCTGAAGTAATTCGTCAGGCATGCGATACGTTATTTCGATAATCAGTTCACCGTAAAATGGTTCTTACCGAATATTATATTCGAATCTATTACTGCTTTCAATGTTATATAACTAATTTCAAACTTGATATTTTTGGTTAATCGTTAACTGACTCTAATTACCACTTGACATAAATAAAATCTGATCTCTTTATTATAAATTACATATTGACGCAATAATTCTACTTCATCGAGTTTATTACAGAAGATCGATTTAAACTCTTGAAATATTAAACGATTGAAAGTTGTATAATGATTTTTACCTGGTGACTGCGGCAATTTTTCTGCGCTCATATTTGGACGTTTAAATGACTATCCGTTTCATTAAACTAACGAAACTTTCAGTGAGCTTCAAATTTATAGAAAACGTCCCACTCTGAGAAAATTTATTTCAATGGCTATCAATATATAGTATTGTAGTAGATAAGGATATCTGATTTGATGTCTCGAGTGTAATTTATGTACAGTCAAATATACTTTTAATAATTTATAATCTTTAATAAAATAGCAGCACTATATCTAATACTCTATAAAAATTTTATGTGAAAATTCTAATTGTTGCACTATTTTTACAATAATTATATATATATTGTATTTCTTCGTTTATAAAATATCAAGAGTTGCGCGGTTCTTAGATGCTCAATTCGCTCGACTGTCGGAAAGCAATAGAGATCATCGTAAAGCAGGATAAAAATAAAAAGGGTTAAGCGAGAATCGTTTTATTTAGTTTTTATTGATTCCCAAAGGTAGAGAGAAAAAAATCGCGTTAAATGGTCGATAAGGAATAACCTCTAGCTAATACTTGCACAGGATTAGGATACAGATTACGTTGCTTGACTTGTTCATTGCTTTCAACAATGTCAATTAATTTAATTTTGCAAGAGAGGGATGTACGTTCTGGTATGTATGTATACGCAGCCCAACGGTAAATCTTGAGAGATCAATCGTGTGGATCCACGTGCATCCACAAAGACTAAATTTCTAAAGGTAGGTAAAATTGTCTTACGGTGTGGTCAAAAATTCACCATAAGACAATTTTACTGTGAAAATGAATGAGCTGCGCCAAGTGCGTTTAGCGCGAAGGTGGTCGTGTCGAGAAGGCATCTAACGCGAGATATTGTGCGATGCGGTAGTATTAATTGGTGCGTATAGCTCGCAGGTGAGACGTTGGCACATGTATGAAAGACTGTAATGTAGGTAAATGATGACAAAAGACGCGTCTTCTAATATGTATAGCTCGTGACAATGATAATAATATATAAATTAAGATATTATCTTATACAACTATGAATTAAGATCATATCTTGGTTCCTAATAACCCAATTAAATAAAATATTTGTCCAATTGTAAATTTGTCGCTATTATAAAAATCAATATAAGTATTTCTATTACCTATCACATTAGACGATAGATCGTCATCAGAATTCAAGTTCTTTATGACAGACATCAATCGTCTCACGATTAAAAATCTTGACGTTTAACCAATAAGTCCAGGGATTTATCTGCATTTATTGCGCATATATGTGTTATTTGTTGAGAGAACTACTAAGGCTTAAACTCAATGTCTACTTTATAAAAAATATTGATTGAAAACTAGCAATTTCATTCATTATTTCACATACCTATTACATCAAGTCAAATTATTAACAAAAAATTAAAATATAAAAATTAATTTAATTGTCACAAGATTTATCTAATAATACGATTTTAAAGGAATTTGATTTATGAAAGTTCTTGTTAACGGCTATTTTGTTTGACAACTACTTATGCATACCTATACACTCGCGCACGCGCACGCACGTATATATTTAAATTTTTATGCGAATTTTATATTATATACATTGAAGAAACAATAAGCGAACAATTAAAATATCAATAAATGTTTTTTACTAAAAAATTGATTGTATATTTATCAGGGATTTGATAACATGTACCAGCAGATATACAAGAATTTAATAAAAAAATATAATGGTACCAATTAAAACTGTTACTCGTAAGAAAAACTATAGTTGTTTTTCATGGTTTATTTTTATTTTATTACTATGAATTTTGTATTTTCATTTACATCGATTTTCTTTTTGAATTTAATTAAATTATGCTTAACATACTTTTCAATAATAGTATTATTCTATATATATTAGAAGACAATAAAATTTTCCAATTCTATTGTAACTTATTTAATCATTTAAATTTTACATTGTATTAACTTATAGTAAGTTACGATGCACTTATTTTTATAATAAACAAAAATATTTCCTAGCTATCAAAAAAAAGTTTTTAAGTCTTAGTTATTTGTTAATAAAATATTAGTTAAATTATTTTATGAATATGTATATATACAGTATGTACATTAATCGTAGTTTTCTTTTTTTTTCTATGGTGCCAGATCACAAATGTATCAACTTAATCAAAATAATAAATGAATTAAGTAGTTTCTATAGGTTTAACTTGTGTCAAAATCATGTTTGTTGGATTGTAAACAGTGGGAGCCGATGCGAGCTTATATGAGTGTGTAGGCTGTCTGTTAGAGTTCGATGAAGGATCGTTCCACCATTGAACCTCGCCGCTACCAAAAATGATGAATATGAAATTGCCCAAGAAATAGATGAAAGCAGACATGTAGAATACAATTTGCCATTGACCAACGTCTTTCTGTAATAGTCAATAATAATTTTTTCAGTAAAATTTAAAATTTTTTGCTAATTTCAGGTTTGACTTACCTGATCGGTAACGATGTAACCGACAATGATAGGCGCAATAATGGCAATAATTGACGCAATACAATTCGTGATGGACATCATAGTTCCGGCGAAATTTGGACTCAGATCAATGTGATTGATTTGAAAACCACAGAGTGATCCAGCATTAAGACCGACGGCAATGATCAATAGTACAACCGGTAATATTTGGTTATTGGCGCTGACAAAACAGAGAGCAATCAATGCTAAAGCTGGGCCCCAATGAGCGATGGTATTACTTATCTTGCGGATCACACCACGAGTTACACCTCGACGTAACGCATAATCTGATAACCAACTTGCTGGGAAACTTAGCAGCCACATAGCGAGGTACGGCAGAGCTGATATTAAACCATTCTACGAAAATTACAACTATTTAATAAAATTCACAAGTTCACATTTTGAGTATTTGATAAATATACTTTCTGTGCGCTATTTTTTATCCAAAAGATTTATTTTAATAAATGATATTGTAAATTTTATTCAACTTTATAACTTTGTTATTCGTTCTACTTGATTTATTTATCTAAATAGAAGTGTTTGTCATGCTTAATGTTGTCATTTGGAAGACTCATCGTGATAAATAAAAAATAGAATACTATTATTGTAGTTTGTAGAGTTAAAATAAAAATTCGAGAACGCTCCAATTAGATAATATTTGTAGGAATATTTGTAGCTATTGCAGAAGAAATTTATTGGATTTAAATTTTTCAATATTTTTTCTCGTGAAGGCCAATACGAAGATTAAAGTATTACACAGTTGATATAATCTTTCTATCGGATAAGTTTATAGTGTATATATTTATTGTTTTGTCTTGTTTTTTTCAATGATAATTTTTTAGTTAAAACATATTAATTTTACTGACCGATTTTATGCTGAATCCAACTATGTCACTCATGTACGTTGGCATTTCAGTCAACAACATCCAAAATCCCCAATTTTGACCACAATGTACAATAATGAGAGCCCACATTGGCAATGACGTAAAAATTTCGTTCCATGGCGTTCGTAGTTTCTGCAATATAACAATAATTAAATTATTGTAATTTAAATTTATAAATAAAGATTGAGTTTTCGAGTAGTGAAAATAAAAAAGAAAAAAGATGTTATCAATTTCTTCTGTTTTATAAAAGGTATGATCGTAATAAATTTTATACAAATTGGACAACACGGCTACCTTTGGATTGGTTATAACATGAAAACTTTAATGCATGCGCACACAAGCTAAATGCTATTCTACAATCGAACCGTATATATATAAACGTGTAATATACCGAATCTTTTAGATTATAAATATGAATGCACCGTACACCAGCAAAACATAGATATCAGTCTCATGCATTTGCGGAAACAATTTATCGAAACATAAATCATATCGTTTGGGACTGTGTTAAATACATATCCCAACGAAACATTTTAATTAAGAAACTTGAAAAATTTAAAAAGATGAAAAAAGCAAATTACCTCAAATTACAACGATTGAAGAAATACTAAAAAACCCTACTAACATTCCATCAACCTTACTAATAGAGTTTCTAAACAAGTGTCATTTATCTGTATAAATCATTTTCCTAATAATATTAATTCAACCAATCTATCTATATCTGTATCACACTTCTGTGTCACCGAAAATCACGAAACCTGTTCACACTGTGATTGATTGTACGAATGAACTGTTGATTATTTTTTTTATTTAATTTAAAATTATAATTTCAAACTTTTGTTTACGCATGCGTTGTTGACATATCGGCATCTCGTGCACGCATGCGTATTAGCTGATTGGCGTCTGAGTCAGAGACCCACCGCTATCTAATAAAATAAAGTAATATTAGCATCTCAAATAGTGACCTACCGCCATCTAGAAAGAAATAAAGAAAACTAAATTCTAGCGTGAGCGCAGTAGTTGGCATTAGCAGCATCACCGACTTACCGTCGTTGTGTATTACTGTCTGATGTGTTTATTTCCAAAAGAAGGTTACAATATAGTGTTTTTTTTCATATAATTGAATATTAATATTTGTTTAATAATAATAATAGATATTTGATAATATTAATAGATACTACATTTCTTGAATTAAATATCACGCATGTTCAAGGTATTTTGTTCTAAATTTTACTGATTGCATTAATCTTTTGACTTAATATCATATTTTTTATTGAACTGTGCAATTCAAAATATTAGTAAAGATATAAAAATTTAGATATTTTTCAGATTTGTCTTTGATTAATAATGGATAGCTCCAAGCAAGAATCACTTGCACTAGCATTAACAGATGAATCAAAAGATATTACTGAACTGAAAAATAACACTGCCTCAAATAATCAAGATAAATCTTTCAAATTACAAAAACCTAAAGATGAATTATTTGATGATGAAATAATGCTGCCAAATAAATCAACTAATTCAACATGTGGTACCATCAAGGAACGCAGAGAAAGCAAAGATGCAAAGAGTAAGAAAGAATTGGAAGAGGAAGAACGTGAAAAAATGCAAGTGTTAGTGTCTAATTTTACTGAAGATCAATTAGACAGATATGAAATGTACAGACGAGCAGCATTCCCTAAAGCTGCTATTAAGCGAATTATGCAAACTATCACAGGGTGTTCAGTGTCTCAAAATGTTGTTATTGCAATGTCTGGAATAGCAAAAGTGTTCATTGGTGAAATTGTGGAAGAAGCTTTAGATGTGATGGAAGAGCAAAATGAATCTGGCCCATTGCAACCAAAGCATCTTAGAGAATCTGTTCGTAGACTAAGAAATCAGGGACAAATCCCTCATGGAAGATCCCAAAAAATGTTTTTTAGATTGTAATAGAACAAATTAATGTAAATTGCAACAATTTTTGTATATTGTACATAAAAGTGTGATTTGATTTTTCTATATACATTGACACAATTGAATGTTCAATTGAAAAACTTTACTTTTGCATACTACTATTCTTTTCAATCAAATTATATAATTTTAAAGCATCAGTACTTTCAAATTAACTTTTACTATTTTCACTACATAAATATTTTTAATAAGAAAACTTATTTTAATTTCATTTTTGCAATGCCATTGTAAATTTAAATAAAATAAATAATATGTTATTTGAGAATAGATTTTATAAAAAAGACTTTTTTTTTAATTAACAGTTATAATTGTTAAAAATAAATCAATTGATTTAATGATTATATATTAAAACCTAACAATGATAGTATTAGAGAGATGATTACATACTTTAAATTTTGATATTGTCTAAACATTCAAATAATGAAAAGTAACCCATTTTTATCATTGACAGTGAAAAAAAATCTACAAAATTCTTCTATCAATAGAAAGATATCATGTCACTAGGATATTTATTTTTCCAATGATCATTGGAGATATTTTTTGCTTTGTTTGGTGAAACCTCAATAACATCAATATATTATAGGTATAATTCATGATAAATATTGTAAATATAATTAATAAATTATATTTACAAATTCGGAGATTTATAATTGTTAAAAGATGCTTCATTATTCCCATTGCTATGCAAAGTTATCATTTCGGTAATTTTCAAAAAATTTCGTAAACTTTTTCGTAAACATTTTCGTAAAATTTCAGATACTAAAATAATTCTATACTTAATATTTCATTCTTATCGCTCCGATTTAAAACATCTGTGCGGTATACTATTGCTAGAGAAAAGTCCCGCGGCTATCGACGTGACCTCTTGTACGCTAAAATAACCGACGTCTATTAATCAAGTCAAGCATAACTTTGCGTTCAGTGATAAGACGCAGTATCTAGTTCGAACGCTGAAGAAATAATAAATAAAATTGACAAATGCACCTTTTTGTCCTGGCTACCGGATGCTTTTCCAAGGCTCTCCTGGATGTAGAGTCTCTCATTGTCGTTGATTTTCTTACATGTATTTGGTTCATCAGCACCAAGAACAAAGAAAAGTGTAGCCCAGCTAATCGCAAGTGCACCAAACAAGTAGAATATGCTTGGCCATCCGAGACTCGAGCCGGCTAATAGACCGGAGATCGGCATCGTTATTACAGTTCCCAGTTGGCCACCCGCGTAAGCGAAGGTACCTGCGAATATATCCTTTTCAATTGAGTACGATGCCTTTATTATAACGGAATGCAATTTAAAATATGCCAACCAAAAACTCACCTAATCGAGCTCTCTCGGAGGGAGGCACCCACCTTGCCAAGAGCGTTTGTATGCCGGGTAATACACAACCCTGGCACAGCCCCATGCCCATACGACAGGCACAAACGGCGATCCAGCCACCATCGTCGACTACCAGTGGTATGGCGATGCTCAAAAGACCGCAAATTAGCAAACCTATGGATAATAAACGTTGAGCACTCCACGTACTCGCAAAGTAACCGCATGGCACTTGCGTTATGACATAACCCCAGAAGAATGAGCTTAGCACCAGCGATTGCTCGCTGTTGTTCCAATGGTAGGCCTGCGAGAAAAAAGATTATTATAATTAAAAAATGTTTGCAGAGCAACAATTGCATTTGAGAAGAATAATTTAGAATGAGCTGTATACTATAAATAATTATTAAAAGGGCGAGTCGAATACGCAATTGCATATTTATTAAAAAGTAGTTTCGTTTTTATAATAATAATAATTTTTCAAGAATACTGTCTTATAATGTAGTTGGAATGTTTTCAGATTTATATTTTTCAAGATATATGAACTAATGTCAATTTCATATTTTCACAGCAACGATATTGACAGACTTAATGAATTATTTCAGTTGCTTATATGTATTATCAGAGACCGACAGAGCACTGCTTCTAAGCTTTTATTTAATTTCAAAAAAATTCTATATACATTTTTGCCAGCAGCTTATTGTTCATTTCGTGAATTTCATTTAACTCTTCTGAAAGCATTTTATAGGAAGGCTTAAAAGATAATTGAAATTACGGCTGTTCACGCGCAATTTTCAACCCTTCATATTCCACGACCGCTACACATTTACAAGCCATGCAAAGATATGCTACATTATGTCAATTATATACCCCAATACACGCGGAAGCATCGTTCGTTGAAATACAAAACAATTAGTGGAACGTGTTGATTAAAATTTAAGCTCGTTAATAGTGGCCACAGCGAATAATAATAATAGCTTGTTTTTTATCGAAAAAATTACTTAGTTGAAATAATAGCCGGCCACATGTTTTAAAATAAAAGCACACCAGTGCATACACAGTACCTTGAAGTCTGGATTGGCAGTTTCTGGCTTGGTCATGGCAACGATCGCTACCGACAAAATAACTCTTAATCCGTAGGCGATCATCATACCGAGAAACATGAGGAAAACCTGCAGGTGCCTAGCGCCAAAGCCAGCTACAAAAATACAGCCATTAAATCTCGGCGATTTTCTTGTTTTCTTATCGAGAAATATCTCGCAAGCCCCAATGACCGTGTTTCCGCCGCACTACTTGGGCATGCATATTCGCCTAAATTGTCCATTCCAATATAAACTGGCTCAAAATCATTTAACAGAAGACGCTTGGCTGACCAAAAGGCATCATAATGAATAGATGACATCGAGCTTGTGATCAATGTACATATATTTTGCAAAAGCTTCGTCGACTAAGATGCCATGAATTTACGCAATGCTATTATAAATCAAAATTGTCTATCTTCATAACACGGTTGAGTCAATCTTGTAATCTCAAAACAAAATTTATGAATTAAAAAAAAATAAATGAAAGTTATCTATATTTGTGCACTACGTCGAATGTATGTGCAATGCCATCAAGATTTCTTTGAAGTAAAATACATCAACAGGAAAGAATTTGAAATACTCTTACAACTATAGTAAATAGTGCACACAAAAAATTGCACAATCTTTACATAAGTCGACATTCCTGAAATTCTGCCTTGCAATCGCCATTGAACTTGATCGCGACTTATCTTTTTCCATGATGCACAAAAATGTGTTACGCAGGTATACGATCGTTAGTTGTTATGCTGCAGTGCTTAAAACATTGTTATAGGTAAAGTTTTGTCTCTCGATATATTCAACGATCTTTTTCCCAAATCTGACGATCTCTGTTGACTTTGAATTAGCGAAGCGGCTGGAAAAGGAAAAATAGAAATCGTTCGCGAGATTTTATGACTAGTTTCGCTCGTTTTAATTCGCACTTAATTAGGCTTTTTCAAGTTCACTCTGGTATTGTTATCAATTTTATGACACACTTTACGAAAATTACTCTTTTTTACGTGTTTTTACAATGTACAATTTCATTATCATGCGACATTGATCTTCTTGATTTCACCAACCAGACTGTCGTTGTGATTTTATGTGAACATCGGAAAACAAAGAATAAACAACTTTTAACTAAATTTAAAAATTGTTCTTTCATTATGTGAAGTTAAAAAGGTTCGAGCATGTACTATGAGCATGTTTATCTTTATCTCTGAATGTTTTGTTAAAAATACCCCTATCTGCCATTACCTTTTTTATAATTATTGGATTACTGCGATAATATTGAAAGAACAATGACAAGGTAGTAGAAAGTTACTATTCACTTTAAAGTACTAAGATAATCGGAAATTTCTTTCTTTTTTCTTCAATTAGTGAATTTTTCCAGTTATTTATAAATATTTAAATTCATTAATGTTGTTAAATATTAATTGCAGCCAATGAGGAAATACGAGAAAATCTTATCTTTAAGTGCTAAAGTCACAGTTATCAGATAGAAAATAATATTGGTTAATGAAAAGCACTTGGAAGTATTTCATGGAACAACAATTTTTTTAATGACTAAAATTTTCCTTTACGACAAATGTAGTATTACATATGTAATATGTAGTGTTTCATAAACAAAATAAATTATAAATTATTTTGTTTTTGAGAACGGCGCCTACTTTTTGAGAAGTCTATATAAAATAAAAAATAGTAGAAATTAAATATTTAATAAAATACACTTTTCAAAAACTTTCATTGCAAAACAAGTAGTTTTATCACGTCTTAAAATTATTCTTAACAATCAAACAAAAAACATTCATGATTGATCCACAAGATTATTTTCATATAGTGAGTTCCCTCCATGTCTAGCAAGGAAGACGCGTTGTTAGTCGAAGCATCGTAAAAATCGAAAAATGAATGATTAACAATTCTATCATGCTAAAAAGGCTAGATAAATCTACGTCAATCGAATATTCGCATACCGTCAATTCAGCAAAAAGGTTGTCAACTTTTCAATAGCAAAATACAGCTGTTTTAATTTACACTCAAACACACTGTTACCTGGCGGAGGTGCTGTTTTAATCGTCACCGTGTCGCCCTCGACATCGTCGTTAGCCGATTTGTGATTCTTCTCGCTCGTCATCTAAATTTGTGACACGCACGTTTGCCAGCTACGAGAAGCTTTCAACGTTTATTCGTGTTGCTTCGCCACCAGCGTTGTTCTTTACGATCGTCGACGACTGTCGTATTTCCCACCACGCGCAAACTACCAGCAACTCGCGCAATGAGCATTTATTTACTTGCAGGACGCGACCACGTGTATCTAATTCCGCTGCTCGCAAGAGCATCGAATATTCATTTCTTATCACGAATTGTGAAAAAGTATTACATCTATGCGATAGTTTTAGTTAACTATAGTAAGGACTGTGTCAAGCGTTCACACTGATCGTTACATTGAATCTTGAATTGAATCTTGAGGAAGTCTCGAGTCTCGCTAAACATAATATAACAATGCATAAATAGGAACTTCTTTCGTATTCTCGTTCTACAATATATAGAAAAGTACGGCATGCATGAGAAAATAAATATCGTTTTCTATTTTATCTTTAACATAATAATATAATATGAAAACATATATATGGATTTTTCAAATTTCGCAAAACCACTGTCACATATCTTCACCTACATAATATTTCGTTCGTGCTCATTATTTCATAATAAATACTAGATTGTCGCAACTGATGATTAAGTTTTCGCAAGTTCAAATAGACTTGTCTATCGCATGCGGCTCTATACATATGTATTTATATATATACATACATATATATACACAACTTTCCTATTTTTTGGCAAGCAGATAAAATTATAAATAAATGTCCATTATATTAATATTAACATATGATAATTAAGCGTTTCTAAGCATACAATTGATTATTATGTGTGTACTTCAGTATTTATTTAGATTTCTTTTTATTTCGCCTATAATAATTTTGATGTGAATCAAGCATGAAAGTGAATATTATAGTCTATAATTAATACTATAGTCTAATAAATAATAAATTTACACACTTGAGCTCTTTGTCAATCGGAAAGATATAACTTCAGACAAGAATTTCCCGGTAAAAGGTGCCGGTAAGATAGCGAGCTATGTTAATCTGATATTGAGCACTGTGAAATACGATCTATGGCGATCGACCGCACAACAAGACTCCGTGGCGCAACGGTAGCGCGTCTGACTCCAGATCAGAAGGTTGCGTGTTCAAATCACGTCGGGGTCACATTGATCTTTTTTTTTTAATTCACTTTTTAGATTATTCTACGACGAACTTAGATATTTCCGATTTGAAACGACATTGATTTTCAAGGTATACTTTCTTGTGTTCACACAGTCTCGGTGTTGGATAAACGCGTTCCCGGCTATTTGACACATTGGGTTTGTTGATATTTTACATTTACCTACTTGTTCAATGTTGAAATTTGTAAAAGATACATTGTGTTTTTTATCGAACACATGTCAGTTATTTTTGTTATATTCTCTTTTGTAAAGTATCTATTTTCCGCGGAATTTACTACCAAACCAACTTGAAAACATAACCTAACTTATTAAAAGAAAACTTGTTAAGTTGTTTTTCATTGTAGATTTAAAAAAAAAATACTGCATGTAAATGGGTAAATCAGAAGACTCTGATACTAAAAATTCAAGAAACAATACCACCACGGTTGCTGATCAAAATATAGTTAAAGACATGGACGTGTATAAGGTTTGTTTAATTTATATTTGCATCAAGTGTGCACTGTATATTTCTAGATTTATAATATCTTTTGCTATTTCAGAACATTGTTTTATTTGAAGAAGAAGAGTCATTAAAAAGATCATCAGAAGAAGATGCCCAAAAATTTTATGAGACTTGTAACCTCATTCGCAAAAATATGGCTTTAATCTCTAAACTTAAATCTAGTACTGACACTAATGTAAGTTTTAATCAAATTCATTTTATATTATATAAATTATATATTTTATTTGTTGTAGACAAAAGATCAAATAAAAGAATTCCAGATAGAAACAGCATTGGCTTTCATGGAGTTGAAAAAACTTAATCGTATGGAGAAATTTAGGACAAAGCATGCTCGAGATTCATTGAATACAGCTAAAGCAAATGTGGATAATAGACATTTGCAATTACAAAATTTAATATATGAAGTAATACATTTAAAAAAGGAAGTTATGAAATGTTTACAATTCAAGTAAGATATCAGATTATTACAAGTAATATCTTACTTTACAATTACTTTCTAAATAATGTTCAATTAATTTTAGATCTAAAGATGAAAAGATTAAATTAGTTTCTGAAGAGGAATTTTACAAGGATGCTCCAGAATCAGTTACGAGACCTGTAAGTTTGTTCTTAATCAACGACATTCAAACTACCAATTGAAAAATATATGAAAATTGAAATTATAATTGATTATAGAGTGTTACGTTGAATGATCCTCATCAACGAAGATTAGCTAGACTTGAGTGGGAGTTAACACAAAGGAAACAATTAGCAACCTTATGTGATAATCTTACTGAAACTAAGAAAAGTGTTGCTACAAGCATAGAATCCAAACAATCTCGTTTAGATAATTTAGCTCCTCAGTTGCGTGGCATTTTGGAGGTAATATAATCATAGAACAAATATGTAAAGCCAGCAAATTAATTACATATTTGTAAATATACAATTATTTCAAAAATCATAGGCAAGTAAACCACTACAAGAAAGTCTTGGATTACCATTAGATAAACTTAAATTGGAACATGAGAAAGCTGCTTTACTTTCACCATCTCTGTATATTCTCTATGCAAAAGCATCCGCATTCAGAGATGCTTGTGGTAGATAATACTCTTTTGACCCTTGTTTATTTCAAACATATATCATCAAATTTATAATTTCAAATTCAATCTTTTTCAGATTCTACATTGATGGTGTCAGTTGAAGGTGATGAAGATGAAGCAAAGCGAGTTTCTAATCAAGACGGTGGTCAAGAATCAGATTCTGATAATGAAAATCAGTCAGAAAATCAGCCAGAAGAACCTCCTGTACATAAAAAGAGACATCACAGAATATCAAAAGAAGCAAGACAAGAAGAAAAGAAAATTCGATTACTCCAAAAACATCCTCTCAGTGTGAAGCTCATTGTTTCATTCAAAGGTTAGATTTTCTTCTAAAATATTTTCTTTTAATATCGCAAATCACGTCATTAAAGTATATTATCATTTTTTTAGATGATACAAAACTTAAATTGCAGTTTTACTATTTAACTGTATTAAAAGTTATTACTGTAGAGTCGGATTTACTGACAGTAAATCTAGGCGGTATTAGTGTCGGGTAAGAAATTTAAAAGTTCTGATTAATATACTATCAACTATCAAAGTTTTAAATTAAAACAACATTATTTGGTTTATTCAATAACAGTGATATGCTAGTATCAGAATCCGTTTTGCGTGAATTATATCCTGGAGACACAGGATTGGAAAGTCCAAATCCCGCAAATACGTATCAGTTAGCGAGGCATAAGCTTGATTCATTTTCATCATTAAATCTAGGCATTCCATATAGATGGGCACAAAGGATGGCAGGCTTACATTTTGTTCCAATCGATGCTCGAGAACAAAAAGTACTACATTTAAATTTTGATTTATTTCTAATAAGAACATATATTAAACGCGAATACTTTAGTCTGTTATCCAGGACAATGCTCAGGACAGCGTTGAAAGTGTACTGAGAGAAATCAACAAGCGTGTTAAGGCAAGATTAGATTTGTGCGCAGAAATACGTCAACTAGAAACAGGAAGTATGCCAGTTCTCTCGGGTACAATAGATCCGATACCTCAAAAAGTATGCACCACTCTCCACAAATTCGTTATCTCATCGTGGAAGAATTACTGCAGTTCATTCCGTTGTTCTGAATTATCCCAAGATTTTATTTCGTCTTCGGACATCTTTTACGAAGCAGTTTTACGACGAGGCAACAGTGAGTATAATTTTTATCTTTCTCATTTAGTGGTATTACAACACTTACGTTGCGATTTCTTTTGTAGATGAACTAACCGCTTTTATTGCAATCAAACCGGATTATCCGAAAGTGAGCTCGATCTTTCGTATAAAATTCCACGATAATTTGCCAGCAGGTGTGGATGTGTTGCGTGATATCGAACGCGAAGTAAATGTTTTGTGGGAAAAACCACCAACTTTATCAGCACAGCTTCAACGACTACGATCATGCTTCGATATCTATTTGGAAACGGAGGGTTTGGCTCCTCGAGAAAAAATCTTCTTCCATCCAGTGCGTGGCAGGACGCGATCAAGACCTTACAAGTATGTCGAACTCGGCGGTGGAATATTCACTCATCGTTAAAAGCCATTAACATTTTCAACTTTGTTTTCTTTTATATTTAAGTGAAATACGATTTTACAATCAATTATTTAAATAGTCAAGATTTTTTACAAGTGTTTGTATGCGATAAATTTTTTTCTTTACACTGTCAAACATTTTTTTTTGAATCAATTTGAATGTTATGTATTTTTTTTGTAAAAACTGCTAAGTTTGCGCATATTCACAGGACTATCATAAAAATATCAAAAACCACCGGTCTGTTTTCTTTTTTTACGACGTGTAAACCATTTAGTATTGGCATATTGTCATTTGGCTGAGAAATTAGGTTAGAATACTGTATACTAAAAGGCATAGAATACAATTGAATTGAAAAAATATGAGCAAAACATAATTTTTTTACAATTGATGTTTTTAAGTGCCTACCTAAACCCGAGTTCCTGGTCGAATTGTTGGCATTCGTGAAACAGATGTTAGATAAGTACGCAAAGAGTGCTTTAATCTATTATTTTCTTCCAGAAGATTATTACGTTTTTGTCTCAATAAGCTATTTTCTTCTTTGAGGCAATATAAGTGGTCCCTGAAAGCTTCAATCTTTTTAAAAAATCCAAAAGGTTCGTTAGTTGGTTTGGTTAGTTCTCGCGCTACTTCCAAGTTTTTAATAGAATATCTTTTAACTTTTAATGCTTCAGGTTCTAAGTCAGAACATAACTTCATCATTGTATGAAGCTCATTGCCCTTATTAAGGATTCTTTCTAAATTCTGAAACAATTAAAGAAAAACATGATATAGACATTTTTATTTCACGGTAGTATACAGAAAGAAATGTTATGTACAATACCGCAATAGCTTCGCTACTCAAAACACTTAGTTTCTTTAGTTGCACAGCATCCAAAGTTTCCATCATTTTCATTTCTTGTCTTAATTTACACAGGCGCTTTGTTAATAATTCAGATTGATGTTTTAAATCCTCAATAGTCTCTTGCCTCTCTTCTGTCAACCTAAGTAAATTTTTTCTTGATGTTTCGGCATGTTCTCGAAGTTGTGTGTATAACTTGGGAAATTCAGAAGCTTCCACTTGATGAACGTCATCTTGTTCTTTCAAGTACTCGTATTGTTTTCGTTTGTTCTCAGTTGAGTTTTCATAGTTTGTAATTACATCATTCAACTCTTGCCACAAACCTTCCATTCTTGGATAAATTGAACGTTTTAAATTTATTATCGACTCCTCTTTCTAAGAAATATTCAGTTTGAAAAATATATAGTATACTCCAAATTTTAACGACGCTTATAAAAAAAACTTACAGAGTATACGATGTTGTGAATACTGACTGCATTTCTCGTTTTCATTTCTGTTAATTCTTCCTCAAAAGACTGCCTTTTTGAAAAAATAATCGTTCTTAAGTGCATCAAAGAGTTTTTCATCTCGACTTTACGACTTCTCAGTTCTTGCAAGTCTTCCGTTCGAATTCGATTGACTGCTTTTACATAATGATCATGCAAGTGATTTATTCTTTCTTTTCCTTTATCTATGAAAAAAAATCAATGAAAATTTTCTTTAATATTTATCTGTTGTCAAATTCAAAATAATGGTGAAATCACCTACCTATGATATCATCCAAAGCCATCATGTGAGCTTCTTGAAAACGTCGATGATCAAGATCCGCTTGTACCAATTCATCAAACAATCTTTGTATATAATCATCTTTGGTTTTCAATACTTCCTCGAAATCTTGATACAAATATTCGACATCCGTTTTCAATTCCGCGTACTTCATGTGACGCAAAGCCGTTCGCCATTGTTCATTAAGTTTCGCTGTGTTGATTCTCGCGAAGGCTTCTTCGCGTTTTAACTTATTCTGTATGATTTAAAAAAAAATCAATTAGTTGACTTGATAAGATAACATGCACTGTTTTGCATAGTTCTTCAAAATAATGTCTTTCTATTTAATTTACAACTTAAAACTCACATTTAAAAACAAAAAAATCATTTACAGTATGGCATATTTTACCTTCGTAAATATTGCTATTAACTGCTGCTTTCGACGCTTGGCCTCTAATTCTATATCAGCGCGATGCTGTAAGTATCTCGCTCGTTCATCATCGGTCATGCGAGCAAGTTTTGACGCTTTTCCTCCTTTTCTCCCTTTTTTCAGTGGCATTGTTCTATCGCAAAATTTTCAACCTTGATTTCAAAGATACGAGGAGCTTGCAAGTATTGTCCATGAAATCCTTTGTATTGCAGTATGTACAAGTTTGATCAATAAACATATCACTATGACTATCCCATTAGCCACGCACCATTGATACAAGAAATCTGTTAATTAAAATTCAAAGTAACAGGGAATTAAATAAAATCCTACATCAATTTGGCGATTAATAGCGTTTATTGATAAAATTGTTATAAAATGAAGAAATTTTCATTCTTTAGTTGTGTATGTTTCATTTTGATTACAGATGACTTTGATGAAGTTCTTCTAAACTATAAGAAAACACCACTCACAACGTATTATAAAAGTTAATAAAATATTTCTTACCGACTATTAAAATAGATAATTGTTTTAAATGAGATTATAAACACATCAACTAACGTAAATATACCTACATTACGTATATGACCCGAATAAACATGTAAATTATATTATTTAGAAATTATATTTTTAAGGAAGACATTTTTGTCACAAAATTTTTTTGTTTATAACTGCTGCTTCAATTTCATATCTTCAACTAGCTAAATTTTTCAAAAACAAACATACTAATTTAACGTTAATTCATCGTTTCAATAATAAATAAAATAGACATCGAATAAAACTGCACCTCGAAAAGAAAACAATTCTTTGACATTTAGTTTTTAAAAAACTATTTACTTATAAATAGTACCAATTACAACTATGTTTTTAGAATAAAAAGGCAAGATAGCGTACAGGAACTCGCTTATATGAAATTTACCCTTTGAATTACACTGATATATGATCCTGAAAAAAATTCTTTAAAAATGACGTTACAGTATCTAAAAATGTACAAGTGCATAACTAATTTCAGACTTTTGTTAATGATCACAAATCTTTCTTCAAATTACCGTTACAAATCAACAATTCTTCTGCAACGAAACACTGTCGTCGATTACCAGCGGTCTTTCTTTAGTTGTAGGTATGAAACTTTGCGTTCGTCGAATTCTTTCTCCATTTCGTAGAGGCCTTATAGTGACTAATTGAGATTCCAAATTAATTTGTGCATCTTCTGCTCGTTTGGCCTTCTCTCTAGCTGCTTGCAATTCTGTATCGAGACTTTGTTTTTCGGCTTCTAATTGTTCCAATCGTAATTCGGCCTCTGAAAAAATACAATTTTACTCGTAACATTTTTATTGATTCACGATGTGAATTTAACGAACATCAATATACCTTGCAGTTGCTTTTCATTTTCATGTTGTTTCATTTCAAATTCCATTCGCTTTAACTTTTCCATCTCTAATAATTGTTGTTGCTCTTGTTGCAACCGCTCCAATTCTTCTCGCCTTTCCCATTCTTCTCTCAAAACTCGGGCTTGAAGATTTCGCACTAAAATGCACGTAATGCATTTATACATGAACATTTTTAATATTTTCAAGTTAACAAACACACATCTTTACCTATCTCCTCATCTCTTAGAGCCTGCTTTTCTTCGTGTAAAAGTATTTCCAACTTCTGTTTTATATCTTCAAGCTCTTGAACTCTGGCACATTCTTCTTTCGAAATAGCTTCTAATTTTCTAGCCTGAATTTCCGCAGCTATTCTAGCTTGGCGTTCAAATTGCAGTTCTAATCGCGTTTCTTCTTTCTGCTGTTTACTTGCCTGATTTTTAAATAAAAAGTATAAAAATTATTCTTCTGCAATGAATTAGAAGATTTACGAATAAATTTCAAATTGCAACCTGTCGCATAGATCTTCTTTGGTTAGCTAAGCTCCTCTGATAACTAAGTTTCTCGGACGAGTGTTGAATGGCAATCTGAAGAGCCGATAGCCACTGCAGTCTACCTCTGTGGTCTTCAGCAACAAGCTCGATGTACCTATGTTCCGAGGTGCTAATAATAAATCTCCTGTCTAGTTTACCACCATTGCTCACAGCATCTGTCCAACAATTTGGATCTAGAGTTATCACACCTGATGGCTCTTTTTGCTGCGAATCTTTGTAATAGGCTAACTCGTCAGGACGTAAAACAAACCAAAAGTACTTGAGAGTTGGCAAAAGATATCCTTTTTTCATTAAATAGCCCTGAAATACGAATCAACATTTTATTTTCTATTTTTTTATTTTAAAAATACAATTGTATTTCAAAAAATTGAAAGAATCTTTACTTTTTTAATAACGTCTTCGACATAAGTTTGATACAGATCGTCGATAGCTTCTGTGATACCGTCGATATCTAAAGATCCTTCACCGCTATACTTTGATTCTAAAACTGCTAAAAATGTTGGGAACCTGTGAAAGTAAAATTTCATCAATTTAAAAAAACTTCTTTTTATACTAGTTAACCGCGTCACTCGCTAAGAAAATATAACATCGAGAACAGTGTTTAATACCGGAAATTCCCAATAGCTGCTGACAGAGCAGAAAAATCCACTGCATCCCAGCAAAGACCAAGTGATGTCACTAATTGTGAGGCAACTTGAGCTACTTCGTCGCTGTGCATAGTCACCTTAAGAACCAAATAAAAGACATGCTTTTTTGTAACCAAAAGCTTTTTTAGTGTCATTTCGATATTCGGTAAACTTTACTTACCAGAAAAGATACATCCGCCCCATCTGTTTCGATTTCGGCGAGTAGACAGAATATTCGAAAAAGCTGATAAACGCTATTATCTTTGAACACAGGGTTCGATCTGTCGATATAAAACTTGCGACAGACTAGCCAGCAAATCTCATCTATACCCTTTTCTATCGATCTACAAGTGTTGATCGGAATCGTATCAGTTAATGATGAAAAAACCTGTGTAAGTTAAATACCATTGATCAATCAGTCAGTAGACTGTCTATCATTATTTGATGAATGCTTACTTCTTTTTGCAAGTAATATATGTAATGCTCAAAGGTCAAAGTTTGTGTACTTCTGTAATGCTCTAATCCTTTTTCCACTCCATATAAATCCATCAGTGTTCCGATATTGGCTGTCAAAACCTGATTAATAAAGTCGTCATCAATAAAAATCATCATTAATGAATCGATTTTTCTTTGAACGCTAATTGTTTATATTATAGGTGGAACGCATGGCTCCCTAATCTCTCGTATCTCAAGAGTCGAGCAAGGAACAAAAAAGTGCATCGTTTATCATGTGTCATCATTTACTTGACGTCCGATCCATCAACATATATACTGTATAAACGGCCAAGTGAATCATTCTCTCGTAAACGTACATTAAGAAACTCAATAATAGCGCTAATACTTTAAATATATGAGTCACGCCCGTGTGTCTCCAAAATCTCATCGAAGGATATTGTGCCGAGCTTACCTTGAGTTTGGACTTCGCCACAATTCCAGGCACATCGTGCTGTAGTGCGTGAAATGCATGCCAAATGCTGTTCGTTAAATTTTTCAGAAGATGTGCCATTATTTTATTACGTATTCAACGAAGTGCAGCTTAACGCCTCAGAACGAGCAACAGGTGCCTCCTTCCTCTATCCTCGTATCGCCACACACTAAGAATCCAACTATTCAAGATCGCTAACGAATTGAAAGTGAAATCGAGACGCATGCGAGAGACGAAAAAAACCCGCGAGCATTCGAACGCACTAGCAATGTATCCGAGACGAAACTGTTTTTGTTTTTTATCGGGATGATGAACCTCAATGAGTAAGTGTCTGAAATGAGGAGGTAGGGCGGACCGTAAGTATAAACGCGCGTGTTCTCATTTTATTTATTTTTGGAGGGGGCCTCGGAAATTTTCGGACGACACTGCGTGTTGAGAGATTTAATCTTCGCGCATGCGTATCTTGCCGGAATAGTGGTGGAGGAATGGTGGAGTAAAGTATATGGAGGTCGAGACACGCAAATTGTTTTGACCGGCGAGTCAGCTCACTATTTTTTAATATTTTACATTGCTGCTTTGCTTGTTTTTTCTAAATAAATTTGCAATCAGAAGTGCAATTCATCGTATCTTTGGCTGATATATTTATACATTTTCAACCTTTAAAATGCACAGCATGTATGTATGTGGCTTAATAATTTTTTTAATTATAAACAACGTTTTTCAACGCAATTGTTCAGTTAAAATGTATCTGAACATTTAATTGCAAAGGGTTTCTAAAAAAATTTTAATACAGTTTATATACATAACGTATATATTTTATTAACAAAATGTCCTTGAGGAGATTTATGCATGAAAGGAACAAGTATAAAGAAGAGCCCAATTTCAAGCATTTGGCAAATTTGTATCCTGAATTTCGGAAAATCGTATTCACAGTAAGCCCTTACTCCAGAAATTATTTCTAATATTATCAATGAATATCCATGACTACATTATAAATATTATGACTACCATCCATAGGATATTACAGGCAAAGTACGAATAAATTTTAAGGATAAAGAAAGTTTGAAAGTCTTGACACAAACTTTATTGAAACATGATTTTAACTTGGATATTGATATTCCTTCAAAAAATTTAGTACCTGCACTTCCTTTAAGATTGAATTATATCTTGTGGATTGAAGACTTATTAAAACACAGTGGTATTACTGATTTGTCTGATGTACATGGGATTGACATTGGTGTGTATTCAAAAAATTAAAATTTAATTTCAATCGAATAAATAAAAAAAAATATATTATTTATAGGAACTGGTGCAACTTGTATTTATCCACTTTTATTTTCTACAATTTTTTTAAGTAAAATGACTGGCACAGAAATTGATTCAGATAGTATAGAATCTTCTTTGAAAAACATTGAAAAAAATGATTTAACAGATTTTATCAAAGGTAAAATAAATAAAATGCTAGTAAAATCATCTAATATAATCTAAATGTTTATGAACTACTTATTACAGTGGTTTTAGTAAAAAAAGAAAGTATTTTAAAGGAACTTTTACAAGATAATAGCAAATATACTTTTGTTATGTGCAACCCACCATTTTTCTTAACTGATAAAGGATTAGGCAAAAAGTCTAAACAAGATCCACCAAGAAATGCTCAGACTGGAAATGACAATGAATTAACAGTTAAAGGTGGAGAAAGAGAATTTATTTCACGTTTAATTCAAGAAAGTATTGAATATAAAGAGCAAGTAAAAATATATACAACCATGTTTGGACAAAAAAGTACTTTAGGATACTTGAGAACAGAATTGACAAAGAATGGTATATCCAATATGACTTGGACAGAATTTTGTCAAGGCTTTACTAAGAGGTTTATAAAACGTACTCTCTTTAATCTATTAACTTTAATGACAGATAAACAATTATATTGTCAAATTGCAGATGGGGTATTGCTTGGACATTTAATAAAAAAGATGAAATTAATTTGATTACTGCACCAGTGACCAAAACAAGAGCAATTATACAAAAGTTAAAAAAAGATAAATCAATGGATATAGTATTTCCTGCCAAAGATGGATTAAATTCTCTTGACAAAGTTGTATCTTCATTGAAAATTTGGATTTCTGAATTGAAAGTATGTATATGTAGTGCACCAAAGTATATTGAAAAAGAATAAACATGTTTTTGCAATTTATAATTTAAAATTACATGTATATTATTATAAAATAGTAAATAATTTGTGTATTCTTAGATAAAAATGAAAGAAATAGGATTAGACGATGATGACAGTCCTTGTTGGGCTTGTCAGCTGACAGGATATGAAGATACATGGTCGCATGCTCGAAGAAAAAGACGTATGGCTAAGCGTGAAGAAGCTTTAAAAAAGCAACGCTTGGAAAACATAAATTCCGTTGATTCTGAAAACCTCCAAATTGAACATAAGGTTGAAACTGACCTCGAAGTCGAACAACAGGATGAGGCAAATACTCAAAATGAAGATCCTCTCTTAGTATGTACACTTCTTGTAGGAGAAAAAGGCTTAGATAACGAATCCGACAAATATGACAGCGAAAGAGAGAGTGAAAATGAGGATTCAAACAACGAAAAAATGCTGAGAATCTGTATGATTTATGAAAGTGGTTGTGGAGGTAAATTAAGCTTAGAAATGCTTCGCCAATATTTGGTCAATAAATTGAATATTCGCGAGTTTTTCCGCAAACAGCAGCCAAGCAAACCTAATAAGAAAAAAAGGAAGAAGAATAAATTGAGACAGAATAAATAGTTATTAATTTATCAGGTAAAAGAAATATACAAATTCAGATTATGTTATAAGTTTTGTATATAAAATGATTTTATTTATCGTGGTGTCATTTTACCAAGTTACATAACAGATGATAAATATGTAAATCAGGTATTCAACTTCATTTTTTTTTCGATTAATCCTTATCTGCTAATATATATGTATGGTACAGTTTCACTAACGAGTGCAATATGATGTTTGGCATAACAAACATAGAGAGAAAAACAATAAAAACAGATGATACATAAGTCATTTCCTCCGATGCTTTCAATATTTTATTAAGCTGCTGTCTTTTGTTTTGATACATAAAATGAGTTCTAGGTTGATAAAAGCGCAATTGATAATTGACAAAATTTTAATTACTTTCAATATTTTGAATCACGTAGCTTTAACGAATAGCTTTAACAAATCGCGTTACGTTTACGTAAGATTTTTTGTAATCGATAGCAGAATGAATAGTCTAAAGTTTTAACGACTTACATTTTATTTTTGACGCCTGGGTTCAATTCCTAGTTGTATGAACTGTCGTAATATTTTCATATTTGAGCTTTAACAAAGCATGCATTTTAGGATATTAATGCTATGATAACAATTTGATCGTGTCTAGAGCTACCTACAATACGCTGCTTATTTCTAAATTGAACACTACAATAACAAAAAAGTTTGATTAACATTTTCGCGATATTATTTGGTTTTATTTTAACAAAATGATTTATTTAGTGACTATATCACGTTGTAGTATCATTTAATTCAAATTTATATTTTATTATTAGAAATTTAGAAAAAAAACTTACAATTGTCTATGCAATTATAATAAGTTGAAAATAAAATGAATATTATAAAAAATGTAACTATACTTAAAATTGGTATGAAATTAATAGATAGATGAAGGAAGCACTTTTGGTACTTGCTTTAACATATTTTTAGTTACTGCATATATGTTACACGATGGTAAATTTGTATATTTGTAGACCATATATCCCATTCCATCACATTCTACCAATGAAATTTTCAACACTGATCTTTATATTTTCGTAATTTTTTAATTTCATTAGTCAATGCCTTAATCAGTTATTGCGTTACAGTATATTCTATATAACGATTATAGATCAAATAAATTTTTCATCTGTGCAGTCTTTTAATTGTAACACCTTGAAACATCGCAAAAACAATTTACCAATAAGTTTGTAGATGGAGTTTTCAATATATTTTTAATCGCTGATATAATAAAATGATATAAAGTTTATACATAATCTGAAAATAAGAAAAGGGTAAAAATTGAAGATGAAACGTAAGTAATAATTGTGTTTAAAAAAACTACACATGTGGATCACACTTCTTTCGTCAAGTACAAAACTTTACTTTTAACTTTTATCTATTTGTTCTGGTTTTTGTTTTTGTTTTTTTATTTTTCATAGAACCGTTGAGTATTGACTAGGAAATTTAAGTTAATTACTTATAAACTATTTTTCTGGTAGATAATGATGTTCATTTAACAACATATGTGAGGCAATGTAAACTTATACATTGTTAACTAACTAGTATGCCTGTTTAACTTCATCAGTTCTGAATAAAGCTTCCAGGCTAACGTCTCCTTTCTAAAATTTCCTAGTCAAAAAATACAAATTGAAACGTAAATATTATTCAAATTATATCCATAATCGTTTGCAACGTGGCACTTGTAGATTCTTACCGTTTATCAATATTATAACGTATTAGCCAATAACATTATTATCGTCGCATTCGTCACATAAAAAAATTACACTTGATTCACAATTCTTTGCAACAAGATAGTGACGTTTTTCAACTGCTGTAGTAGTATACTTAACAGGGAACATATAAATCATCATTTCCAATCGACCACGAGTTTTTGAATTACAGCACTCTGATCTATTTTTTATGTCAATCCGTAATATTTCAATAAACATCCAAAAGTAAAAGTTCTTTGTAAAAAATTTATTCTACAAAGTTTGATTCGAAAATTTTTATAGTGATTTTAACAATCCTCTTAATTCTAATTTAATATTTTTTGTTAGCAATTTATGTTTATTTTATTTTTTACGTTACAAAACTTGCAAATCAGTAAAGACAGCCAATAAAAATACTATCTCCAATAACTACATATCGATTAGAAAAGTGTAAAAATTCGTTTTCAAGAGTGAAAAAAGAAACTCACACGCGAGTCGCCATTTCTCCGCATACAGGAGAAACGGAGACTTCTTTAAGCTCCGCGTTGAGTGCATCCGTAGGCTCAAATAGTGCCGCGAGCTCAGCTCTCGACGGGTTCTTTCTTTGGTTCATCATCGCTGTTTATAGCACCAAGAGTGGTGACCGTAGCAGCAGGTTCACGCTTAGCAATTTCCGCCTTGAAATTTTCAATATCCTCAGGACTAATCTGTACAAACAGTATACCATTGATGACATTAAGCATATCGAGTACGGAGCCCATGCTTGGTGGTTGGATTTGAATGGGTGGCAGACTGACACCCGTTTTGCCAGTGTAAATTTCATTCATTTTCTTCTGTAAAACAACGGCTTGCTGGGTAAGATGACGTAAGCAATCGCTGCTCTCCTTTGTTTTCTCATGATCCTCACCAAGCTGTTGCTTGTAGATTGCGTACGTTTCCTTTTCGTTGTTCAGTGCTGCGCGAAAATCACCCATGCACGATTGCGTCCGTGCGACCAAGTGATATGAGACGGCAACTTTAAGCGAACGTGGACCATGGTAGCGCAAATTTAAAGAAAGTGCATGCTCCAGGAAACGCAGAGAAAGCTCATATTCACCAACTGCATGTAGAATCAGTGAGATATTGCTCTGAAAGTCAAACCTTTCATTATACTTGTCTGCGTGAAAAACAAATTTTTTATTGTAATATGAAAAGTTTTTAAATCTTACATCGAGAAGTGCTACTTCGGGATGATCCTCACCGCACACGAGAAGGGCGAGGTATCTTGCTCTGTACAAAAGTCTTAATGATGTAGAAACTTGTCCGTTGGCAAATGAATATAAAGCTAAATGAATCTGATAAAACATAAAAAAGAGCGTGTAGAATAAATTCGAAATACATTTTTCAATTGATTTACTCACGTATTCAGTGATGGTGTATGGATGATCGATGCCGTTAACTCGTTCCGACATGAGGACGGCTTTTTGTTGAGTTGCAAGTGCTTCTGCGTGATCGCCCATTATATAATTTAATCTCGCAAGCATTCGCAGACATTGTGCGATTTCTGGATGCATGGCACCATAAACATTATTGAGTAAATTAAGCGCCTCGTTAATTAGCTCGTAGCCATCTTTTAAATAACCCTGTTGTATTTTATTCTGGCCAGTTGTGTAGAAATTGTAGGCATCACTTGCCTTTTTTAAAGAGAAAAAATTCAATTATTTTTTATCGACTTATACGTCATTAATTTAATTATTTTTGTAGATTACTTACTCTTGGATTAATGTGTTTAACCACTGGGAAAATATTTAAAATATCCTCTTCGAAAAAGGTAGCGCGATTCTTATTATCAAAATTATACTCTCTTAATAATATCTGAATGCCCGTTTTGATGCAAAATGCTCTCAACAGAGAGATTTTTTGTAAACGGAAGTGATCTATAGCCACATCAAGCGACTCTGGCGTAGGACACTCCCAATCGTAATACATCTTTAAGTCAGCTTTGATTTGCTGCCAAAGCGATTTAGACGTCAATGAAGCCCATTCGACTTCGGATTGCTGTGGTCCGTTGTTTCTTCCCTTTCGTTTATTGCGACGTTTTGCTGTTTTACTCTGTAATTCTTCAAGGCTTTGTTGTGGATGAGCAAGTTGTGCAGATGATAAGAAACAGTTCAAGAAATGACTTATAGCAGCGGATAAACTCATAAATTCAGCACCCTGAAATTGAATACCATGAATTTTCTGTCACCATCGATATAACGTAAAAATTTAGGAATTCGTGGAACAAACCTGCATATATGCAGTGAAAATATGTTTTGCTGATCTAAGTATCAGTTCAGATACAGCAATGCGATGAAGGTACTGGAGTTGAGGAACTGCTGCAAGCATAGCTGCTAGTTTACCGAGATATCGAACATTTATTCCTCGTCCATGTAAGGCTTCTACCAAAGTACTACCATCCATGGCAGCTGGCGTATGATCCAAACATTCCCGAATCTTGAATAAAACAGTTAAAATTAAAATAATGTTTTTTTTTTCCATTTACATCAGGTTTCGGAATATACATACAAAAGTTGGAAGTTGGACAGTAAGTAAGAAATCTGCAGCATCAATAACCAATTGTTTCTGTTTCTTTAAAGCTGCTCCATTAGAATCTGGATGAAGAACTCCTGGCGAGAACACATCTGGATTGAACTTTATGTCAAACTCCGCTTCGCGCAAGCTGCCAACTGCAGTGGCTGCTCTGCGAACGATTTCCTTTGTACTTTCTTCCACTGGAAAAAAATAAAAGAATTGTTGAGGCACTGTTTCCAAATACTAGAAAAAAATATTTTTCTTGAATAGTTGTACTCACGTTCTTGTTTTTCACCTCCCGTGATTGAGTCAGTGATGCTTTCAACAATTTTTTTGGCTTCGTCAGCTTCGATCGAAGATTGAGTAGAATCTTTATTGCTATCGACAGGAACTTTCTCATCTTTCTTTTCTTCTTTTTCTTCTTTTTCTTCCTTTTTATCCTCTTTTACTTCATCTTTTCTATCGTTTTGTTTCTCTTCCTTTTTATCTTCCTGTAATTATAATTTTTTATTAGTACGTGATCAAATTTCATTATATTCATCCTGAGTCGACATACCTTTGCACAAATTTCTTTTTCCTTTTGATTTCGTTTAACTGATGTCAGTTGTTGCAAATGTACGGCAGCGTGTTTGATAAATTGAACATATCTTGATTCAACAAAAGAATCAATTAATTCTTGGCGAAGACAAGCTAATTTGTGCCTATGTTCCACTGGAAAGCCAAGAGCTCGTGCTTCTTTGCTTAATTCGACTCCTTCAACTAAAATTAAGAAAAAATTATTTTTATTGTTAAAAAAAATATTTCATCGCGTACATTAAAACATATTTCAAACATACGTTTTAAAAAATTAACATCAGGAGGCGAAGTTCTCAACAAATCCAATACGTAATGTCTCGAGTCGTTTCCAATAATACCCTTACATTCAACGCTGCTACAAAGCTCAATTTCTTCACCTGCATCATTGATAACTTTGTGCGGAAGTATTTTCAGTTGCTGACCGGCTTTATTCAACTAAAATTTAATGCCAATAGTTTAGTTAAATCGCTAACAATGAATATTTATTTAATTCTTTCTAAAAGAATGTATTTACCAATTCAAGATATTTTGGGTGCGTAAGAATAGTCTTCCCAAAATCAATAGATCCATAAACTACGGATTGCTCTTGTTCGCGCTCCAAAATTCCAGGAATGATGGATTGCGCTGTAACTCGATAACCCCTAAAATAAGATTTGTAAAAAATATCATTGATTTTAAAGCTAGCTTCATTTTAATATTAAAAAATACACCATAAATAGGAATAAAAATTTGTACCTGTAGTCTACAACAACGGTTCCCAAAGTATAAAGACCAGGAAGATCAACAGCCGCATACACTCGAACACCTTGAAGATCGTTACGCGGTGCAACGAAAGCAGCAGCATCGCCGCCAAGTTCTTTGTAATGATCACGAACATCAAAACCAAGGGAGAAAAATATATTGTTCCATATGAACATCTGCATCTTTGGTTCTTCGCCAGGATTGATAGCCATAACGTTGCCATCGATCACTGCAACGGCACCGCGAGTTGCAGCTGCTACAAAGTCGCTGTGCACCTGGTAGCAAAAATTAATATTTTGACTGCAATGAAATGTTAAATAAAATATTGTAGGATTATTGTGAGAACGAAATACTTTGAATATCGCGCGTTCTCTGAGCAATCTTTCCGGAAGATTTTTGCGCGGCAACTCCCTCGTCGTTTGCAACTCCTCATTCCAATCCCTAGTTTGACCAGGGATGTGTTCTTCGTAACCTAGTTTCGACGAAAACGCTATAAAGCAGAAAAACCAGTATTGAAGCAAATTACAGATCCTTGTGACTTGTAATAATCATAATACTTACTGTCTTCGGCGCGTATCGCGTCAATAGTATGTTCAATCTGCGGTGCCGCCCACGCGTACAACTGATACGGTGTAGCAACCCTTTCGAAAGGATGTCGCTGAGTTCGGCGACGTTGCATTGCAGCAAAACCACGTTTAAATGCCGGACTAACTTGATTCAACAACTCGATAAGACTGTGACAGAGGTGACTAGGTGATGCGGGCTTTGGATTAAATGTTTCCTTTGTCGACTGGTTGACGAAGAAACCGCGAGCGCAAGCTGTTAAATAGTATTGCTTTTCCTCGAGTGTAACCACGTGCAGGTACATCAGGTCGCCGTGCAACTTGCGATAACCGGGTGGTGGATTCCAGCCTGAAGTCGTTAGCACCTGCAGAATGTAAATGTTATTTGAAAATAGTAATGAACTATTTTAATTATTGGTATTATTAAGTGTTGAATAAATAATTGTAAATTTCGAACCACAAATTCAATTTTCTATACTTTATTATAAGATAAAGCTAGACAGGCAATTTTAAAGTAAAAAATTATAGTACGTGTAATTTTTCTTTCTTTAAGTAAATTATTCGACTGTAACGATGTTACTGCTCATTTTAAGTAATTTTTTTTCCACTCACTAGTTGACTGATTATATTTGTATTTTTTCACAGAAGCTAGAAATGCGCGAAACTTTTTGTGTGGGTACGTAATATTTTTTAAAAGAATATATTAAAAAATGAACTAATATACGTAATTTTTAAGATTTACGACTCCAAAAATACACAGCGAATCAAATGTAAAAATAGTTAATATACCTTCAGACAAGGCGGGCATTTTTGTTCTTTAATCTGAGGCTGTACAGGTAGTAACGGTCTCTCCTTACACCCAGGAATAATATAATCGGGTGGGGTGCAATCAACCGAGTCGGCTCTGGATTTCTTTTTCTCGAGAATATCGCCATTGGTAACGACGTTAAGGAACGACAAACTGCTGCACTCGACGCCATTGTAAGCGTCCGCTGGATCGACGGACTTGAGCAAATCGCGAACGTGTCTAACGTGAATGCGTGCCTCGCGCATCGTGTACGGCTCTTCGACCACTTTAATTACTGAGCCTTCCTTCAGTCCCTCGATGTTCTTCAACTCGGCGAAATTGTCAAGAGTATTGCCGTCCAATTGCAGCGAGAAACATGTGCGGTGACATGTGTCTTCACGGTCCATCAACAGCTGATGAATTTCCTGTAAGAGAACAGACTGATTTTGATTGATCAACGATCTTTGTACAATTGTTATATTGCGTTCTTATTTGAATACCATGCACGAACTTATCGGATTGAATGTGCCGTGTGTTATTGTTACTAATATCAACGCAAAATCAAATCGTTATCTTGCTGAATTATATAGATGAAATGATGCAAATGCAAAAATACCAACCTGAACGAGTTCCATGCTGGAAACTTGAATGTCGAACTGTTCGGCACCAGGACTAGCGATTTTCACGGTGAAACCCATATCTTGAATAAAAACAACTTCTTGTTCATTAGCGGCATCCTTGTCTTTGTTCTTGTCCTTGCTGTCTTTGTCGTCTTTGTTTTCTTTTTCGCCTTCTTTGGTAGCTTCGACTTCGCCTTTTTCAACAACGTTCTCCAGCGAGTTACTTGCATTGCTGACGTTTTCTCCATTTTGCTTTGCTACTGGAACTAGAAAGAAATATGTAATTCAATTAGATATATTGCGCATAGACAGAATTGTACTTTTTGAAATTATTCGTTAAATTTCATTTAGATATCGTTTGAGATTATCATTATTTTCTATAACTCGTACGTATTAATTTTGATAAGAGCAAGAATTGAATGTTACAAATAATAATACGGATTCAAATCTTTAAAGCTAAATTACACATTATACGCAGTTACGAAATTGATAGAGTAGATATGTATAATAAGAAAAAATTGAAATAAAATCTGAGTTCTAACTTGACAACTAATACATGTACAAAAAACATATTCACATTCAGATGAAAAATAAAATTCTCCTTGTTTTCTAGCAGCTTTTTAAATGATCTTTACAAATAGGAAGCTAATAATTATACCCAGAATTAAAAAAAAACACACCATCAGTAATTCCCGTTTCTTATCATTTTTTCGACAATTTGCCCTGAAAACGGCACGAATGTTAAGATGCCTAATTTAAAATTAAAACGCACCACTGTCGTTCTTACTCCAAGAATTTTATAAGTACGAAAGGATAAGCCCGATGCGAAAGCATAATATCCAGAGTCCGACGTATGTACATCGTAAAAATGACGACGACAAATAAGGAATACGCGAGCACGCGCACTGAGAAAGAACAAGAGGAAGCCGGGCACTTTATAAATAAACGGCAATGTAAATAGTGCGCTCTCCCGAATGCCGTACTATTTTCATTCGATCTCTATATACGCTATACATCTATCTCTCACTCGGTCCGAAAGCGCGCCTGTCTGGCATATCATCCGTTCTAATCACCTTTCTTTCGCGTACTTCTGCCACGACAATTGTCCTTCGATTTTCACGCCTTTCGCCCTCCCTCTCCTTTTCCTAACGCGAACCGAAAAAGTAAAGAAGAGGCGATCAGGCGAGTCTGCGTACGCGGCCGAGGCAAAGGCGAGAAAGAAAGAAAGAAAGAAAAAAAAAGATAACAGACTCGCGGCCGGTTCGCTCGTTTGCCCCGGCAGAACAGTTTGGCCCCGATAGCCATCGCCGCGCTCGTATTGCCGATTGCAAAACGTTCGCTGCATATGTGCGCGAGCCTCTCCTTTGCAAGACACGCGAAAAAAAAAGCCAAGCGTACGATAACCTCCATTATCTTCGCGAGAGGGACAACATTTCTTTTCGCGAGCGTGCGCGATCCGTTATTATGCGAACGGTCGGTCGGACTGTTTTTTTTTTTTCTTTTTTTTTCTTTTTTTTCTTTTTTGCTACGTTTCGCTGTCAAGTCAACGCGTCTCACGGGCGATTGCTCAACTGCGCCAGGAGCAAGAAAATCGCGATTTCTGCGTCTGGTGTTACGCTCATTTCCGTTGCGTAAAAGCATTCCGTTCGCCGATTATCACTTTTCTCGCAATAATCTGTCCAGTCAATTTGTAAAGAAAAAAAGTAAAAACGGGGAGTGGATGGCGAAGCGGCGATTAGCGCAGAATCAGCTATACAATAAAGCAGAGAGAATAAGCGAAGCCATTAACCGCTCGAGCACGCACTCGAGTAAACAAATCAATCGATCAGCGTACATTTTACTTTTTTCTCCGGCACTGTGCAACTACCATACGCACTCCACACTACACGAACGCGTGGTTGCAGCGATTATATATATATAGAGAAAGAGAGAGAAAGAGAGAGATGGCCCGTTCCGATGCTTTAGTTGGCTTGCTTGCGCCAGCTTAACGGATATCCAAGAGCAACGACGAGTGCTCTAACGAGACTCGGAAAAGCGAAACAAGCAGGCCCAGAGGTCCCACGCGCGAGCGCATTTGCATCGGGCGCGCCGTGAGGTCAAGGCAGAGCTACACGCTGCGAGAGGCTCGCTCCGGTTTGGCGTAAGGCGAGCGAGACGCCACGGTGACAGGGGTGAACGGACGAAGCGCACGCGGGTTGCAAATCGCTTGATGGATAGCCGCGTTACGTAAGCCGAGGCCGAGCACGTGCTTTAGTTTTCACCGCTTACGTAAAACCGCCGCGGCCAAAATAACACGTCTCTTCTATCTCGATTTTCGGGCCGTTATCGGCCGCCTCCTCCCTCGCCTGGCCAGCCCAGTCTCGAGCCACGGCTTACCGAGAGCGCGATCGCGCGATAAACGACCGAGATAGCGTCTCGCGAGTCGTCGGCAGGGAGACGGGCGTCGAATCGGACAACGATCAAATTGTGCGGGCGCGCAGCGCGACGACCGCGCTTCAATTTCGCGTGCGGCTACCAGACTGGCGCTTTATCGATTGCTACCCGCCGCTTGGCCCCCGTCTACGTCCGCTTTAACTCCGCGGTAATATGGACACGCGCGCGTCCCAGACGCCAGACAACCAGATCCGACCAAGGATTTTCATTCCACGTAGTCTCGAGACTCGGTTGTGTACTTTCTATTTTTCGAGGAGACTGTACACGTGACGCGATGGATAATATAATCGTCAATCAGTTTGTTGATACTGCTTGCTCGACTATACCACTATACTATACACACTTTTTCCGAGTACGTAAATAGTCATCTGCTCCTCTCTGTCGAATATTACATGAATTCTGTATGGGGAATTGTAAATGGCACTTTTTTAATCGAGCCTGAACGATGAGAGAGAAAGAGTAGAAAGAGAAGCCGCGGGTGTTAATATAATGCATGAATGTGAATGTGACTTTTATTTCAATGGTCAGTCGTTTTCAGCACTGTTAATACACAAGAACTAAGCAAATCAACATTCCTTTTTCTGATGTTAATTTTGATCGCCAAACACACCGCACGCCGAGCCTACCTTTCAAACAAATTTCAATTTTGATGCAGCTACAAAAAATAAAACGAGAGTATATGCGAATTGAAATATCAAGTGATAATGACAAAGCCAGCGATAAAAATCACATCGCATAATCTCACGTGCTCGAGTTGTTCAACAAATTCCAAAATAAAAAACAAAATCTAGGATACGATAGTCTATCTCGCACAACAATCAACCCTGTTGCAGTCCGAAAAATCATAATAAATAACTTGCCAAACATCAAATCTAATTCTTCGCTCCCGTTCAGTTGATATAGACACGGCGAGTGCATTGAAGCACGCATAATGCAATACAATTTGCAAGTAACTCGAATTCGGCGCTTGGTATTTTTCGCACGTGCGTGTGCGTGAGTGCGAGGTACAATTCATTCACGCGCGATTTCGAGTCAAATCAAGAGGGGAGAGCACGTGCGCGGCTGCTATTTTGGACTTTTTTTTTCTGTTTCTGCGATAAATGGACTTTGATATCACAATGCTTAGCGAAGCTACAACGTCGTCGTCAATTTTCGCGAGCTTTCCGAGACTTGAACTTTGTACGCTTGGGCGGATTGCGAATCGCTACGAAGACTCGCATAAATTTTGGTTATATCACTCGCGGTGCAGATGCACGAGACATACGCGTTTATTCGTCTAACGGTTAATTGCAAGTAATTCGTCAGTGTGCTGATTGCCGATATTTTTAATGACAATGAGAAACGAGCGTATCCGTTTTGATTTTTTCCTCGATTCATCGATTGAAATTCTCGGGGAATTGAGAAACAGTAGATTCCACTAATTTCAAGCGCAAACGCTCCATGGGACCACATTTTTCCTACTTGTACAAGTGTGTTATATAAGAATCTATCTCTATCTCTCTTGTCGTCTCTCACCTATCGAAGCCGAAGCTAGCTGAGTTTGCGACGTACGCACACGCGTGCAATTAGTAAAGGAAACCCATAAAAGAAAACCCGAAATCAAGACTGCACGAGTAATCGATCAGAAATTCATCGTCAATTGAACATCACAAGGCACATGTATAAATTGTACAATTGCCTCCTTATCATCGGTTCCTGTCCTCTCAAATAGTCGTCGTGTTTAATAAGTCAAGCCGGCGAGAAAAGCACGTGTGAAGGTATATCTGAGGCGCGCACTCGCGCTTGCTGTTCAACGAGCTCTCCCGAAACGCGATGTTACGTAACGGCAAACCGCTTGTACCCTTAACCTCGCTCGCCGCCGTGGCCCGAATTTTCCGTGACATAACTCAAGTTGAACAATCAACGCGAAATTCCCTGCGACAAACTTACCACCGGCTGACGAACTGCTACTGCTGTTTCGGAGCTGAACTTTGTTCGTCGTCTCATCCTGCTGCGCCGTCTCGACCTGCGAGCCTAGTGCCATCGTTTTTGATTTTTTTTTCTGCTTTATCCCTTTCTGTATTACTCGTTTACACTCAAACTGCACCACGATTTTCTTTTTTCCGTCCCTTCTTATTCTGCTTTTCCCTTCTACTAGAAAGACACAATTGATAATTTCTTTGTATTTTATTGCTTTCTGTGAACACGGCACCGCGTTTTCTTTATCTCTCTTTCGAGGCGGTGGTGGCGGTGGTGATGGTGGTGGCGGCGGCGGCGGCAGTGGCGGCGGCGGCGGCGGCAGTGGCGGCGGCGGCGGCGGCGACGACGACGACGACGCAGCACTGCAACTATTTCTTATTCTCCCTGCACTACGACGTGAACGTGATCGTCTCTTGACGAGGGGGCTCGCAACGAAACTATCTCTTTTTCCTCTCTCTCGCGCGCGCGCACACAGCAAGCACCACGTGCCTGCGCCGATTCAATGAATCAATGCTACTCGGTCTCTTCCACTGGGACCGATCAGTAGCATCTCTGCTGATTGGCTGGAGATTACAGCTGTACGCCGTGAACAACAGCGCATGTGCCTATTTGGCGTTAATTTTTGAACTAGCATTTCTTTAAACTGTGTAATTTGTTGTTTTACTAGTGGCTTGTTATTATTTTAGCATACTGATAATCTTCATTTATGGATTCAATTACTTTCTTATTTGATAATATAGTTATGTTTCGCTTAATAAAATTGTTCTTGGTAATTTCTCTTTTATGAATTTGTTTTATCACATATATTTCTCGAATTGCTACTAAGAAGTATAATTTGAAATTTTTAAAACTGTTAATTAAAAAAAATTAACATTTATATAACTTGTTATATTTTTGAAGCTTACGAAATTTGTGTAAAAATAAAAAAATACTCCTTAAATGCTAGGTAACTATCATGCGTAAATTTTTCAAAGATTTTTCAACGTTAAATAATTATGAATTTTTAAGAATTAAACTAAATATTCATGCTTAGTTGTATACATTTCGCTTTCAATACAGTTATATACTTATAATGAAAATGTATTAATTAAGATACTTGTCGAAGTATTAGCTTATATATTGACCAATATATAAGAGAAAAAATCTTATATTATATAATAATATATAAGTATCGAAAAAACAGTTCTGCACAATCGAGCTTTGCAAGCTGACAAAGTAATTATGAGGTTCTTTAATATTTAAAACTATAAATTGAAAGTAAAACATTAAAATTAATTTTAAAATAATAAAAATTAATTAAAACAATCATTGTCTTTGTTATCAGAAAAATAACGAAAATTCAACAAGAATATAGAAAATATCATAGGTGAAAACTACATCGAGTAAGCACAGAACCACGCGCTTATTAATAAAAAGACCTGAGATTTGGATCTCTCGAGTCTTAACTTATCAAACGACTCGCCGGGGATTGCCGGGTGCAGTAGGCATAGCTGTAGATACTGGTCGTATAACCTCTCGGAAAGTGGATTAAACTTTTGCGTATGTGTATTTTACATTTTTATTGAACAAATCAATTTTATTAAATAATGTTATAAAAGTGTTAGAATTTTTTACGATTCTCAATTTTTCTTGATGATAATTGCTCGAGATTACGAATAATCTTATCGTTTCAAATCATAGGTTAAAATTTGGCAAAATGTCAACTGAGGAAGACAAACAAGTAAAAGAAGAAAGTCAACCAGAACTTCGTGTTGGTCCTGATCCAAATGTTGTCTATCCAATAAAAGTACAATATTGTGGAAATTGTTCACTGCCCATTGAGGTAAATTAAGTTCTTCAGTCTGTATCACTAGTCTAAAACTAACTAGCTAAATTTAAGAAAGTTGACAATATTTGACAGGTTTTACATTATTTTGTTTACTATGATTAATTGTAATCTCTCTTGTAGTATTGTGAGTATTATCCAGATTATCCTAAATGTAAAGAATGGCTAGAAAAGAATCTACCTTCTGAGTTCGAAAAAGTAAAATTAGGTAGGGAATGGTCAAAATGATGTAAAAATAAAAAAGTCGCTTGATAATAACTTTGCATGTCTTTTTAGTGGATGATTCTACTACAGAAGCTGGTAGTACTGAAGATGAAAAGAAAAGACAAAAGAGAGGAGGAAAAGGCATGCTTAAGACAAAAAAAAAAGAAGAAGTACAAAAATTAGTTACAGTTTCCAGAGCTCCAAGGGGAAAGAAAAAATCTGTCACAGTTGTTACTGGTCTGAGTACTTTTGGTAAGTAACAATAACAGCAAGTTCCATGATTAATATTTAAAGTTTTACTATATAATAGAATATACATACATTTTTTTTATCCAGATATCGATTTGAAAATAGCGGCAAAGTTCTTTGGTAGTAAATTTGCATGTGGATCTAGTGTAACTGGGGAGGATGAAATTGTGATACAAGGTGATGTCAAAGATGACTTATTCGATGTGATCCCAGAAAAGTGGCCTCAGGTTCTTAAATATTTTTAATTTTCTATTCTTTGTGATATTCAAAATTATTAATTAAAATAACTGTTTTTACAGATTGATGAGGATTCGATAGATGATCTTGGTGATCAAAAGAGATAATAAGTCAATAAAATAGTTTGTGCACAAGACTATTTACTGAACAATATTATGTCAATGAAATGATGTTTATTATAGACTTATGTATATAAAAATAAGATTAAATACAACATTCTTCTATAAACGGTGTCAACTTTCTAGTATTTCTTTTTCTTCCTCTAAATTTAAATGTTCTGCAATTACTCTTAAAAGCTTTGCAACGTCTTCTTCTGATAATCTCTCTTCACTTTCTTCAACAATCTGTAAATAAAATTCATAAAAGATCAACAGTTTAACTTTCTTTCACCTCTTGAATAAATTAATTGTTAAATATAAATACCAATTGTATTTCAATGTCAGTCTTAGGGCACTGATTCAATAAAGTTAATTTTTCACCCTTTGTCAATTTGAAACAGTCTAAGGCTTTCAGAAATGCATCAATTTTCTCAGGAGACTGTTTAGAGCAGGGTGTATCTTCTAAATACTTTATTGTTTGATACGTTATTGTTGCCAACTGATTTTGTCCCTTTTGCTTCTTGCTTGATTTAATACTTTTTAAAATGTCCAAGACTTCGTAATTACTAAGATATGCCGAACAGTCATTCAATCTGCAAAGATTTCTTTTATAATTAACATAACATATACAACAACTCTTGAATCAATTCAAACATTATCATTACTTACACTTCCATATTTATTTAATGCAATTATTGTATGTATACACAGGTACTTCTCACGTTTCACATTCACTGTAAATAGTGTGATGAACAGAAAAAGGATAAACAATAAGAGAGATTAACTGAATTTCAAACTGATTTTGAGAATGAACACAATATTCTAAATTAATTTTAATTAATTAATAAACTTTTGAAAAATTTGTAATCTTTATAATGCATGGCATGGTACGCGGGGTTCATGACATGACAGTTTCCATGATGCTCCATGTATGGCTGTTTACAGAAGGAATCTGACACTCACGAAATGACACGAATTCTGACATATGACATGTACGTAATACGTTGTTTTTAAGCTAAAATATACTCGAGATGTTTAAATTAGCGTCTTATAAACACAATAATAGCAATAGAATACATTTAACAACTTTCCGCAAAATTTTAGTCTTTAAATCATATATATAACACGAATAAAGCGGTTATCCATGTCATTCTGTGTAATTTGAAATCTGCGCGAACACAAAAATTATTGAGATATTTTATTATCATAATTGATCCTTAAGAATGCTACTGAGATTATTTAAACGTATCCTGAGGTCTACTCCGACTAAATTTTCTATGCGTTAAAGTTAAGCAGGAGTTCGTCGTAGCGACGTCCTAGAAAGTATTCGTGTTACCTGCAGATAGGTGAGGACTGTGAAGATGGCCCCCGGGTTTTTATGGGAAATTGCTAGCGAAAATGGGAAAACGGCATTAATTCCGCTAATTGTCCCTGATACTCGTAGTAATTTCCCATTTTCGATTAGTCAACGGGAAATGGGTGAAAATTGGCATTTTCTCCTGGCACCGGAAGTGGCCTCTTTCTCTAATAATTGTTGTTGAATAATTACGATTGATGGCTTAAAATTAAGATTTCAATATCCCCCGTCATCCCCCGTATTCGCATTTATGCTGAATGTTATTCATTTTAAATAAAAATTGTTCATAACTTTGATGCTTTGAATGGCGGGAAATCGGTATCAGTCCGTATTTCTGCGTTCCGTGGTCCAGATAACACAGCTGGTGTCGCATACATGTACTGGACACTAATTGTTAAAGTCGTCTGCTCTTAAACAATAATAATACCTAATCTGATAATAATACTTTCTTGTACAGTTAACCTCATAAGCCATGTTTTCGTTTAAACAATTTTCCTTTTGTCGATATTCTATCCAAAATTGAGGAAAATGTAAAAATTAGTAATATGCGGCAGTTAGTCGATAAAACAGGTCAAACGTTTGCTAATCACCAGGGGGCCTATTCTGAAAAAAAATTTTGTGGTAAATCAGTTTGTCACTTCAGTTTACCACAGAATTAATCACTTTAGATGTGATAAATGCTTATGACATGTGCTAAAATTTTTTTTCAGAATAGGCCCCGTGCTAAAATTTTTTTTCAGAATAGGCCCCCAGATATCCCTATATGAGTTCTACATTGCGTAATTATAATAATAAGTAATTCAAATTCTACTCAATTAACCATTCACATTTTATGTACATATACATAAATAATTTTTTCTAAGGTTTTCTATAAGTTTGTCAACATGCCAATTTTATAATTAATATTTTAACTATATAAAATAACATAATTCTGAACAAAGTAATAAAAAAATTGAATTGACTAGTTAAAATTGAAAAAAAACAATCATTGATCAAAAACTTATAGCTTAGTTTTATATTTGTTGAATTATTTAATAACGAACTTAATTTTACTTCCATTCTTCTTAACAATATAAAGTAATAATCCATTGTAGCATATTATAAAAATACTTCAATATACTGAAGTATTTTCTATACTTCAATAAGTACTTAAGTATTTTCTATACTTCAATAAGTATTGAAGTATTTTCTATACTTCAATAAGTACTTCAATATATTGAAGTATTTTTATAATATGCTACAATGGATTATTACTTTATATTGTTAAGAAGAATGGAAGTAAAATTAAGTTCGTTATTAAATAATTCAACAAATATAAAACTAAGCTATAAGTTTTTGATCAATGATTGTTTTTTTTTCAATTTTAACTAGTCAATTCAATTTTTTTATTACTTTGTTCAGAATTATGTTACTTTATATAGTTAAAATATTAATTATAAAATTGGCATGTTGACAAACTTATAGAAAACCTTAGAAAAAATTATTTATGTATATGTACATAAAATGTGAATGGTTAATTGAGTAGAATTTGAATTACTTATTATTATAATTACGCAATGTAGAACTCATATAGGGATATCTGGTGATTAGCAAACGTTTGACCTGTTTTATCGACTAACTGCCGCATATTACTAATTTTTACATTTTCCTCAATTTTGGATAGAATATCGACAAAAGGAAAATTGTTTAAACGAAAACATGGCTTATGAGGTTAACTGTACAAGAAAGTATTATTATCAGATTAGGTATTATTATTGTTTAAGAGCAGACGACTCTAACAATTAGTGTCCAGTACATGATGCGACACCAGCTGTGTTATCTGGACCACGGAACGCAGAAATACGGACTGACACCGATTTCCCGCCATTCAAAGCATCAAAGTTATGAACAATTTTTATTTAAAATGAGTAACATTTAGCATAAATGCGAATACGGGGGATGACGGGAGATATTGAAATCTTAATTTTAAGCCATCAACCGTAATTATTCAACAACAATTATTAGAGAAAGAGGCCACTTCCGGTGCCAGGAGAAAATGCCAATTTTCACCCATTTCCCGTTGACTAATCGAAAATGGGAAATTACTACGAGTATCAGGGACAATTAGCGGAATTAATGCCGTTTTCCCATTTTCGCTAGCAATTTCCCATAAAAACCCGGGAGCCATCTTCACAGTCCTATTAACATAATGCAACGCTGATCGAATCGAATCCGAACACTGGATTCCGTATCTATTGGAGTATTGGAAAGTTAGCCTTAGGGCTAGGTTAGTTTGCACACATCTATGTAGATTTTTATTTCATGTTGAAAGGTGAAATCCCTCATCCGTCGGCACTCGAAATTTGGCCGCTTTGACAATATGGAAGTTCTTTATGAATTGTGACGCACATTTCCTTCATTTCTCCACGGTATGGTGAACTGGGTAGAGTACGGCCGAAAGCGAGGTTAACCTAGAAATTTGTTCAATTTCTTTTTTAGGTTTTGTTAACGTATATTCAGGTTTCAATCGATCAATATTTAGATTTATTTGTTACTTAATGAAATATTTTACAAATATGAACTGTTAATTAAAAACTCCAATGAATCATCATTGGAGGAAAGGTGAGATTCTTAGTCACATATTACGATAGTCACATATTTTATAATCAATTTCTTAATCCAGAAACATCTTTTTAATATAATTGCATTAACGATTCGTTTTTCAAAATAATATCATTCAAGCACTTTTTATAATCATTTGCATGAATATTTTTGTGAGAAACAGAATGGATTTTTGTGAATTTTTTATATTTTACACGTGTAATGTTTGCCAAATGATGACACCTTTTACCAATATCATGAATACTAATGATTATTCATTACATGCACTACCAACTGAAATTATTATTTTAATAAATTAATATTTCTCAAATGGTTAGCAAATTATTAAACTTTGCTTTTCTTTTTTTTTGTTGCAGACTATTTGGGAGGAAAGAGGTGAGACTCAAGTGTTTATAAATATTAATTGATCAAGAATAGTGTGAAAACTATAAAAAGACTGTTTTAATGAATGTATGAAAATCTAATTTAAATAAAAGAATTGTTTCAATAACTATTTCATTTTTTTATTTCAGCAAAATTACCTTCTTCAATTGATTGGTCATATTGTTCAACATACAACATGTATGGCTATGGCTTGTTAGATTTTTTCACAAACTATTGAGTGATAGTTGCTAAATAAGAATTTTTGTAAATTTTGTGCTTCAACAATTTCTAAATAAGACTCCATAATGAGTACTATCTTAGAAAAAATAGCAGCTATCGAGGCTGAGATGGCCAGGACCCAAAAGAATAAGGCGACTTCTGGTCATTTAGGGTTACTCAAAGCTAAACTTGCAAAGTTGCGAAGAGAACTCATCACTCCTAAAGGAGGAGGTAGCAGTGGAGAGCAAGGTTTTGAAGTTGCCAAAACTGGTGATGCTCGAATAGGATTTGTAGGTTTTCCGTCGGTTGGAAAGTCTACATTACTCAGCACATTAGCTGGAGTTTACTCGGAAGTTGCTGCTTATGAATTTACTACACTTACTACAGTTCCTGGATGTATTAAATACAAGGGAGCAAAGATTCAACTTCTGGATCTTCCAGGTATCATTGAAGGTGCAAAGGATGGCAAAGGACGTGGTCGACAAGTGATAGCTGTAGCTAGAACTTGCAGTTTAATTTTCATTGTCCTAGATTGTTTAAAACCACTTGGACATAAGAGGTTGATAGAGCATGAATTGGAGGGATTTGGTATTAGATTAAACAAACAGCCACCGAATATTAACTTTAGGAAAAAAGATAAAGGTGGTATAAATTTACAAACTACGTGTACGCAGTCGGAGCTTGATCTAGATACTGTTAGAACTATTTTATCAGAATATAAAATACACAATGCTGATATCACACTTAGATATGACGCAACATCTGATGATTTAATTGATGTTATCGAGGGTAATCGTATATACATACCTTGTATTTATTTATTAAACAAAATTGATCAGATAAGCATAGAGGAGTTGGATATTATTTATAAAATACCACATTGTGTACCAATATCAGCCCATCATAAGTGGAACTTTGATGATTTATTGGAAAAAATGTGGGAATATTTACAACTTGTTAGGATTTACACAAAACCAAAGGGCCAACTGCCAGATTACAATTCTCCAGTTGTTTTGAATAAAGATAGGCGTAGTGTTGAAGATTTTTGCAACAAGCTTCATAGAAGTATTGCTAAAGAATTCAAGTATGCTCTTGTATGGGGAGCTTCTGTAAAACATCAACCGCAAAAAGTTGGTAAAGATCACATTTTGAATGATGAAGATGTTGTACAAATTGTAAAGAAAGTCTAATTGAATTATGAACAGATGTGAGTAGATGTGAGTGTTAAACATAGTTTCAATTTTAATCAGATACATTTTGTGACTAAAAAGGATTTAATAAAATAGCTACTTCAAAATCTTATATTTTCACTAAATGTAATGATTATTCATGAACAAAATATTTCAATATTCCGTGCGGAAAGTACGTACTTTCCGCACGCTCGACCAGAAACGTGCGTTCAAAAACGAACTTTCGACACGTCGTATCGAAAAATACGGTAAGATAAACGTTCGGGAAAGAGTTTCTCGTCTCGTGCCTTTCCACCCTCCCTTCGCTTCGGCGTAAACGCCACACGAGACAATGACAATAATCTATTTTCCCGCACTTGTATCGTAATGTACTATTTGAAAATACAATTTACTATGTATGCAAAACAAACACATGAAACATATATTTGTATTTTTTAATTTTTAAAGTAATTTTGTAACATTTTTTCATCTAATGATTTCCATCTAACACTCATTCATTGCAATGAAAATGTCATGTGGTTTGTAAAAAGGTTGTTACTTGACTATTAATATTATGTTATAATAATAAAACTTATTTAATGGTTTTTGTAAATAATAAACATCTAATTTTAAGTTTCTAAATATTTTATTTATCCTCATTTACATGTAAGGTACTTAGGTATAAAGTTTTATACAAAACAGTAGTCGTTACACATTTTACTACAGAGATGAAATAACTGAATAATGCAGACAATGTGAAAAATGAAAAAAAATGAATGATTTAAGTATGAACAAAAATTGATACTACTTTCAAAATAGACGTTAAAATCTAAGTAAATATTTTTGTAGGTATATTTTTGAATCCTATATTTCATTTGATAAGAAAAGATTGAATTCAAGGTTTTGTTGTAATTTTAACGACAATCTAAAGAAGCATAAATAAATAGAAAAATGTAGCTATGTAAATTGTCTATAGTAAATACACAAATCGGATTTACAATAGTTATGCTGTATCAAAAAAAGATGTTTGATTTAATTTGGTTTTACTAACAAAGATAGATGTTTATATGGACGTTAACCATCTATCTTCGTTAATTTTATGCTCTATTACTGTTACAATTAGGTGAGTTCGCCTCCATTCAATTTATTTTATATATTTTTATCACAAAAAAAAATTACCACTTACATCATATTTTTTTATACCAATATTCTCTATGTATCTCTTCGAAAAAGTAATATTTATTTGTACAATACTGTTACTATATTATTTTACTGTATTTTGATGGAAACTTGTATATCAAACGTCATGGCATAGACAAATTTTTGTACAAAAACTTAACTATTCAAACTGTATAATCTTGAAAGCTAAAAACTTTCAAGTATTTAACGCGATTTATAAGTTATTTTTACCACATTCCAAATGATTTTTGAGAATAGTTGCATCTTTCAATATATTTTTAAAAGGTTGGATTGCACAAAATTTTAGTGTAAAAATACTCAGTTTCCTACTGTTATTTCAACAAAAGTAGTACAGTCTTGTACATATAAAGTTTTTTTGGTATAAATATCCAATTGATTAACATTACTATATCATTCAATAACAATTGTTACTTTAATTAAGCTTTATTACATTTTTCAAGTACAATGTTTGCAATCATAAATTATCAACTGTGTCAGATTTATATAACAAGTCTAGATTACATAATAAAATAAACAGATCGAAATTCGAATAGATTTTACAATTTGCATTTTTGTAAAATTAATCAATAATCAAATGTTTTTCTCCAAAAAATTAGTTGATCTTACGATTTGAAACAAAACATAATAATACTTAAAAATGTTATTGAAAAACTGTTCTTAAAAAAAAAAAAAAAAAAAAAAAAAAAAAAAATAACGCAAGCGCGTTACACTGTTTGATAATAATAAAAATTTTGATCAAATATTTATAATTTATTTTAAAAAAGTAGTAAATAATTGAAAAATTTATAAAACGTACAGCAGTATAACGTATATAATATATGTATACTTTTTCCGTGCGAGTAATAGATATTAAAATATATTGTCTGTAAATCACGATTTATACAATAATAAATGTTACAGTATACAAAAGATGGAAGAACTATGTCGCTTTCTAAATAAATGTTCTATTGGCATCATTGTCAACGATCGAGCAAGATGCACACTGTCGAAACCAAGAAAACTAATTTGGTTTATACAATTGATAATTATAACAGCATAACGCTTTAAGAGTGTTCTTTACATTTCACTATCACTTATAAAAACATAGAGATTCACTATATCAAACAACTTCAGAAGGCTGAGGATCAACTCAACTATATATACCACAAGTTAAAATTAGCATTATCAATGTAAATAAATTTCGTTCAAAAAAAAAAAAAAAACAATTTTTCCAATTGCAGAAATCTGCAATCAAACTCATAAAGGTTAAAAATGAAAAGCTGTGCGGTTTATTCAACTTAAGCACCAAATTCAAAAAATACCAATATTAACTTCAATAATATTGTTTATAACGTATTCAGTGCTTTATTGAAAATGTTTTCTCGATATTTACTATGTATACAAACTACAACGATCTACTTCCATTTTTATCCGTTATCCGTGTTTTTTTCCTCAATGATGACTAAGCAACCGTCGGTACTCCCAAGCAGTACCTCCGAAAAAAATTAAATTATAGTACACGTAGCCAGAGCATGATTATAAAATAATAATAACAAAGTTTGATAAACGAAGGAAGGGAGGAAAAAACGTTTGTGGATTCGACTGCGCGTTTCGATTATTTGGTCCATTAACACTATTATAGCACTTATATCATTAGGAAAGTAAATAATGCCTCTTTTTGGTACCAGTAAAGTAGGCCTACTTTGATTCGGTATCATAATTTCATTTCCCAAAGTACGATGTGTGCATCATTACTGTTAGGATCTTTGAAGGCGTACGTCGATTTTTGATTTTTATCCTCCTTCTGTGCCCCTACGTGCCTCCAATTCACGTAGCCTCGGCCACCCATCAACGTCAGCACGGTTCGCCTTGGTTGATCTATCTGCGATTTGTTGCCCTTTTTATTTGCCTGCTTTTGTTTATTCATTGTCCTGTTCTCCTGGATGTTCGCAGAGGTATTGTTAACGTTGTTTGTGACGACCAGATGTTCGTGTTGTGGACCATTTCGACTGGCGGTGCTACTATTACGAGAAAGCTTGCCGGTTTTCAAAGACAGATTTTCTTCGGAGCCCGACGACGTGTAGAGTGAGCTGGCATGCGAGTCGACAGACCAGTTCGATAGGTCTAGTGATCGCGGCCTCGTGATTTTCATTTTCAGTCGGCGATCGAGGGTACTGACTTTGTTTGGTAGAGCGAGTTCAGGGTCACTGCGCCTCAGTGTTTCGTAGACTGGATCGACGACGGTACCGCTCTCGTTCTCATAATCCTTTACGTACATGAGTTCACCGTATAGGCCGTATACGTCGCAGTTCTCTCCTGAACTTTGGGAGCTCGACATAGAGCTCGAGAGGAAACCACCTCCGCAACCTGAACCAAAATCACAAATACTGATTATAAACTTGTTATTGATAAATTCTTGAAAAAAAATTGATTATTTACCCAATCCACGAGGTAAAGTCTTCGATCCTCTATACTCGTTTTCCTTACTTCGCTTACGCCTTAACATTACAGGACTATTGGTAAGTTGCTGTTTAAACTTGAGCATATTCGCCGACATGCTGGAAGCCGACGAAGCATCGAGACTCGCCCGATCACCGCGTGACTTTTGAGCCTGTCCGTTCTGATCCGGATCTTTATTTCTCAGCTGCACTTGTTCTTCCTCAGGCTCTTCTTCTTTTGATAGGCCTGCACTGCTTTTGCTGTTCTGTATGGCGAGTAGGAATGTGACCGGACCAAAGTGAGCATGATAGGAGATATTAACTCTGCCACTGATAATCGGCACACCCTCTAAACGCGGCAGTGGAATAGTCAAGCTGATGCCGACATTCGTACCAACCCATAACAAGCCCTTGCAAGCCATCAACGAGGTTACCGTCACAGCCGACTGGTTGTTGTTGAGAGAGTCACCGCTGTTGCTGTTGTTAATGCAGCCACCGGACTTTATTATCCGAAGCACGTTTGAAGCAATATTGATGTCCTGTAGGTGCTTGAAAGTTTCTGTGTGGTAGAGACAAACGGTGCTCGAGTTCTTGAGAGCTACCCAAAGGCCAACACCCGAGTGGGCCATGAGCTTAACGTTGCCTACGTGTTCGTGTTGAGCACTAAAGCTCTTGGTATTTTCACCAGTAATGGCATTCAACACCCAAACTTTCTTGCCGCAGGCTACGTACACCGACGAATTAATGGGCATGAGGCATGAAACTGCATAGTTGCCAAGCGAGATGACCATCGGATCCTTTAAGTTCCACGTGCTATCGTACTGTCGTTTAAACATGAGCAACGAGCCCGTGCCCAGCGCAACAAACACATTGTCGTAGTAGTACTTGATTTGGATGACTGGTCCGGAAACTGGATAGCTGCCTAGCTCTTCTTGTTTCTCGGGTTCGGCTGCCGTGTAGACGATGACTTTACGCGAATCAGTGCCCATCCAGACGAGGTCGCCAGCCAAACTCGAGTGCTCGTTACCAATACCTTTAACGAATTCGGCAGCTGCGACGCGCGTTTCCACGAGATCGAATGACGTTATCTGCTTGAGAGACGTTGCAGTGGCTGTTGTAGATTGTCCGAACACTGTGACATGCGTGGATACGCCGTCGTCGGTGCAAATCCACAAGTAGCTCTGATGTCTACCTCGTCGTCTCGTTGGTCTTGGATTTTGTGTGACGTAGTAACATCCGCAACGTACCTGTCGAACAAAAAAAAAATTAGATTTTTCTTAATTATTTTATTATCTTAGTTTGCCGTCAGAGCTGCTTCAGAGAGAGAGGGGGGAGAAGGACAGAGAGAGAGGGAGAGGGAGAGAGAGAGAGAGAGAGAGAGAGAGAGAGAGAGAGAGAGAGAGAGAGAGAGCTGTGAATACTTCAGACTGATGTTGCGAGTGGTAGACGGGTTGCGAAGTGACAAAGAGCGGCATTTTCGTGGAGGGCCTTTGTTCTTGCTCTGGCACTTCCCATGATGGCGAGTTGTTTGGATCTAGTGCTAATTGCGCTAATCTAAGTTCCGTTATCCAGTCTTTCTTCACGAGTGGGTTCTCCGTTTGGAAGGTGTACATCTGTCCTTGCTTCGTCACCAGCTGCAGGCAGCAGCTGTCCGCCCAGACCATCTCCTCATCTTTCGCTTGTATCGATGATTGGATACCATGTAGTGTTTGCTTTACCGCTTCCGGCGTCATTCCCTGGGCGAGGTGAAAAAGAAGCGGAAGATAAGTAAGAATTACCACGTGGTAATTTCGGCCGACTGATTTACGACTGCGCGCAATAATTGTATGTACTTACATCGTAAGAGCCCTTGAGCTGAGCAACCAAGTCACTGATCCTCGACATGACTTCATAGTCGTGCATCAGATCGTTCATCTCGGCGCAGAGGCTGTCGGCTCCCGCTTGTCCACTCTCGCCACTCCTGTCCGATTTCAAACTGCCACCTTTGTTCAGTCCCGCCGTTAATAATCGACTGAGCGTGGGAGACGTGCTTGTGTCTTGTATCTGAAATGGCATCAATTACACAATTACATTACACATCATTCAATTGGAAATCCAAAAGCCTCGAATTTTAATATGCAAATATATGCACCAACCTCAATGTCCGACACCGGATACGTCCACTTTAAAGACAGTCGCTCGCTGCCAGAAAAGTCTTCCGCCGACCTTTGCGTTACCGAAACGCACACTACCAAATCATTGAGAAGCAACAGTCTTCGCGATTTTGATTTTGTGATCATGCCGTTTTGATTAAATTCCTTAAAAATAAAACGAATTCAGTGAAAAGAATTGAAAGAGTAAGCGGAACATTAACGTATGGCAATAATGAGAGCTTACGAGCTGCGTGACATTGTCCTCCCTGATGAGATACCTAGAGGACGATGAGAGCGGTCGATGGGATAGTTTGCCGGAAACGTGACGTAACATATCCTTGAACGCTTGGAATTGCTCCGCTTCTCTCTTCCTCTCGTTCAGCATCTCCGCCAAACTTTCCAACTGCGTGAGAGCCAGTTGCAGCGACATTCGATCGTGATGCCCCTGCGGTGTGTGTTTCAGCAAGTCCTGCGAACGAGCAAATCATTAATAACGTGATTTGGTCCTTGAAACCTGAACATAACTTTTATTCGGCATTCAGATAAAGCTTTTTTTTTCGTTGTGTTTGATTGGCGCAGCTTTGCCATCTTGCAACGAATGCAGGAATACAGATTGCGCAACAAAGTGTTAATTAGTAGTCGTTGTTATAATATCTTGCATAATCTGAGTATATATATAATAGCGGCAGGTTGCATCAGTCAAAGAATAACATTGTGATGCAGTCGAATCGATAACTTATTTTCAATATATAAAATTAACTCGACTTATGTAAGACTCACTTGCAAGAACAGTATAAACTGCGGGAACCTCTGCACAGGCTTGACCATCAAACCGAAAAACGACAGTCTATCGTGCGCTTGAATCTGCTTGACCTTGAAAAAGTCAGCTAGGGCAGTTTTACGCTTGGATTCTTGCTTGGCGAGGTCCATGGCCACGGAGAAGTTGTTGATGAAACCGCTGTAGATGTCGAGTACAACAGCTTTGCTGAAACTCGCCACGAACACGTCGCCCAACTTCTCGTCCTTGTCCCATGAGCGCACGCTCTCTGCCAATGCGATGCGGAACAGCGTGTGACATTGTAGAATTTCAGGAAGACGATGGAATAGGGTGGCTATTTTCGATTGGCTGAGTATTGACGGCGATGAGTCTTCAAGTTCCTTTTTGTAATCCTGTCATTCAGAAGGATCATGTCATCTTTTTTTACCTATGTTATTGGGAGTTTATTGCTGAGACAACACCACAACATTTTCAACTCAATATACCATAATGCCGACGGTATGTCGACGGAGTTTACAAAATATTCATTCTCGAAAGTTGCTCTAAGTTTCTTTTACGCTTCGTACTCGTTTACAAAGCAGACAAGAGAAAAAAATGTGCAGCCTCTTATGGAAGCGTTCATTTCTCGACTATAATAAAAAAATTTACTCCTAGCAACATATCATTTTTTTCTCCTAGACAGTTTACAAAAAAAAAACGGTCCAAAGCGGTAGCGGTTAATGAAATATAAAAATAGTATAGGGGAATTTTTAATTAACTCGAATGTTTGCGATCGCGTAAAATTCATTTCAGCGACTTATTGCAAAAGTATTAGGTAACGTCAAAAAAAAAGAAAGAAAGAAACAAACTGAAAATCAATTCCAAGAGTTGAGCAACTGATATCTCGTTATTAGCATGCAAAAGCGTTGCAAATTAACAGTCGCGCGCGCGATTCGAAACGGATGATTTGTCGCAAAGTGGTCGCGGCAAGGCGCCACGATACTATTTTTCATCATCAATAATTCATTAGTGGCGCCGTAGGAAATGCCAGTCCCCCTCTCTCTCTCTCTCTCTCTCCAATAAACAGAAAATAAATTGAGCTTTACTCGACGATGGTTCTAAAAATAGACGGTACACGTACATTGACGAGCCTTTGGAGTGTGGCAACGTAGCTGTTCTCCGACTGCACGATGGCAGCGACGATGTGTCGTCGCTTCAGCTGCTGAGCGCTGAGGTTGGGCGGCGCGGGTGGCAACGATGGTGGCGCTTGCCGGCGTTGCTGCACACATTGGAACTGCATCGCCCCGCTCTCCTCCTCGACCTGTGAATCACAGAGAACGAATGACGCTGCACAGGCATTGCCGCAACAAACGCGCGCGCGCGCAGCTACACTCGTTCGTTTAAGCGCCGAGGAGACCTTGGCAGTTACATAAACGATCCGGCCGTCGAGGTCCTCATGCGAAGTGCGTCGAGCTGTCGACGGTGCCGCGAATCTTTCGTCACGCGAGTCTACCGACAAAGCTCCGTCGAGTCACGAGCCGCCAGCAATGACCAATCGAAGCGACACGAGCGCGTCTGGCTCGGCAGAGCGAATCGGCAATGCGTACCTCGCAGAGTTGCGGCATCTGCGGCACCTTCATGGGGCTGGCAAGCGAGTTGGTCTCCGAGGACGAGTCGACGTCGTACTGGTATGCCGAGCCGCGCCGCATGCTGAACCACCTGGACAACGCCCGGCCTTGGCCTCCGCAGTTGCTCGCCGATGCCGCGTCGATGGCGTCGCCTCCCGGGGGACCCGTCTGTGCACTCGCGCTGTTGCCGCTGCTCTTGCCACCACCGCCGGTGGCGCCGGAACTGCTGCTACTGCTGCTGCTGCCACCGCCGCCGGCACCGGTCACGCTGATGCGCATGTTCTGAGCTCGCCACTTGTCGCAGAACGTGCGCGCCTTGTGCAGCGTGCTCCTCAGCTGACAGTTGCTTCTGCAACAGAGGAAGAGGTAGTCAGATGCCGCCTGCACGGGTTTCCGACACCCGCCACGATCCGTCGTCGGCAGCTCGCTATTCCAATGGCTCGTACTCACTTAATACTGATATTGCTCTTCTCGCTCTCGTCGTCGGACGACAGGTCGTGGTCCGAGGCCGAGCACCAGGAGTCGTCGCTCCTCGCCGACTGCGCGGAATTGTTGGACCTCGCGGACTCCAGCGTCGCGTGATGGTGGTGGTGATGGTGGTGGTGGTGATGGTGGTGTCGAGAGTTGGTCGATGACGGCGCGGCCACGCCGCCAGCGACGCCGACGCCGCTCGGGCTCGCGGCGCTGGCGTTCGCCACCACTGCGTCCATCTTGGTCGCGGGCCCTACGTCGTCCCACGATCTGCACCTCGAGCGCGGTTCATCTGCAAAACAGCGAAACGCGGGCGATCAGAGTTAGTCGCGCAGTTTCGCCCGTCGGCTCGCACCGACTTGCGCGAGTCGTCGCGCAAGCGGGCGCGCGCCGCATCGATCGCCTCGAAAAATACTGGTAGCGAGGGCTTCCGAGCCGCTCAAGTGGCGCTTTACGTAAACCAGTCGGCTTGCGTTTGTAGAAGGAGCTCGTTTACCCCCGACATGCCGCCGAGAGCGAGAAAGAGATAAACCTGGCGCGCGAGCGCAGCCGCAGGCTCCGACTGCACTCCCACGAGCCGTTTACGTTCACTTTTCCCTGGGGCGTGCGGATCCGATCGTCGCAGCGAGTCGCGCTAGGAAATAGGAAATTCGCAAGCGCGTGGGTGCTTTTCGGGGGCCACGCCGTGTTGCTCGGCGCTCGACAATTCGTCCAAGGCTCGTTTGCGATCGGTCGATTCCTCCTCGCCTGCTTCCAAATACAACCGATCGTTCACGGCTGCAGGTCGCTCTGCAAATCGTTCGATTACGTTGCGCACGTATCGCGGAATTATGAATTAGCCGGCGGAGCCGCTCGCAGCGTGACGGAAGTGGCTATTTATAAATCGCCAGGCGGATAGCGAGAGACGGAGAATGCTAATGTCCCGACGGCGAGTCTTTGCGTTTGAACCGCCGAAATCGTCCCCTGCCACGCGACGGGGATCCTCGCCGTGCATGATTCACGCTTCCGTTGGACGAGAGCCGTACGAGATACCGCGCGGGCGGCACACTTGACATCCATTCGGACGGAACGAAGCCGCGCGCACTCGCCGATTAAAAGCGTCGACATTTCCGCGCGAATATCGAGGTTTTTAACGCAATTCGCGACGCACGACTGGCGACCTAACGGGACGACGCCGTTTGTCGACTACTCGCAGCGTCAGTGTTTCGGTTCGGCCCGAAACACGCTATAGTCTGGCGTCTGTCAGCGACAATGGCCGTGCAGTGCGCAAAAGTCCTCGGCATCCAATAGACGACTCCACGTGCGATAAGCAGCAAATTCAAGCCTGTCCGCCGCCGCCGTGCCACGTAAGCACGTCCGTCGACAGCGAATGGCCGACTGTACTAGGATCCGAGCTCGAGCACGGCCCTGCGAGAGGAAACCCGTTTTGCTCGTGGCGCACTTTTCGGCGCGAAGAAAGCAGGTTGGCGCCGCCGTGGCCATCAGTTTCGCGTGGACTTGCGCGTCGCCGGGAAACTCCTGGCGGACTCCGTGCCGTTGTTTGGCACGACAACCGTGCGAGCGTCGATGCTGCTGCTGCAGTAACAAGGAAATGCTCCGGCGCGCTTGGTCGGACTAGCGCCTCTCCACTCCTCCACGCGGCCGACCGACGATTCCCGGCAGTGCTTCCGACGTCCCGAGAGCCGAGTCGCGTCGGCTTGACGACTTGCGCGCGTACCGACAACTGCGTTTGTAGAAGAAGCTTGTTTTTTCCGATCGGGACGGACGACTCGAATCGAAGCTCGCATCGCCGGGAAAATTCAAGGTCGCGCGCACAAAGCGCTCGAGCCCAGCGGACCGATAATTTCGCTCGGACGAACGGCGCGGGAGCGAGCGAAAGTAAAAAAAGAGCGTCGCATCGATCGCATTCCCCTTTCTCGATCCCCGGCGTGCGCGCAATCTCGTTTACGTGCGAATCGAGGCATAAACGAGCAAAAGCTCTCGCGGCGCGCGCAGAGCGCTGCAACAAAAGCCGCGATATCAGTAGTCGACGCGTACGGCGCTCACAATGCCGCTCGGAAATTTGTCCTTTCGGAAGCGTTCGTGGAAGTAGCGTCGGCGCCGCGTGCACGTTCGCGGCACGTATCCGCACCGACGGCCCGGAGAACGTACGCCGCAGCGTCAACGGACTCGAGACGACGGCAGTCCTCGCTTGCGACGGGAGGCTCCTTCGCTGTCGCCTGCGTCGAGAGAGCGGGCGCCCGACTGGGCGTCGGCGGGCTCGATCGTCTCGCGATCGACAAGCGAGTCGCGGGGCCCTCGCCGAGCGGGCCGTCCAGCGATGCGGCTAACGACTCGGCACAGCGTCGCTCGAATGGGCGCGATCGATCCGCTCTCGACGAGAGTGCGCGCTCGAGCGGATCGGTCGCCAAGCGAAATCAGCACGCGTTCGCCCAACTTCGACGGCCCTCCTCGTCGCTGTCGCCGGCAGACGCCACCCGTGCGATCGACTGCCAATCGACGGCCGTCCTTCGCCGCGCGCCCACGGGCTTGAATTTCGCGCGCCGTCGTCGGCTATTTTTGCGCCTCGCGCGGTCGCTCGCGGGCCGCTCGGCTCCGAGCTGCGTGCGCTCGCTTGTCCGGCGCGACAAGGCCGCGCGAAGCTGAATTGATCGGCGGAGAGCGAGAGAGAGAGAGAGCGAGAGAGAGAGAGCGAGAGAGAGAGAGAGAAAGAGAGAGACGCGGCGAAATCCAAAACTCGCCAGCGCGACTTCTTCGCAGCCGAGTCGAGTTTCACGAAGAGTGCGAGTCGACAATGCCGGTTTCTCAAGTTGCCTTCTCCCCGGGCGCGAGCGCGCGCGTCGCGAGATGTCAATAATGCGCGCGTAATCACCGCGTAGCCCCTCTTCTCCTCGGCGCGGAAGCAATATCTTGCATTAGCCGCCGTTTGGTAATCAAAACGCCGTCGTCGTACGCGCAACGAGCCTTGCCTCTCCGCGCCGGCTGTGATTTTCCTCTCGGGCGCCGACGAGAGAGAAAAACAAGGCAGCCTCGCCTCTATCCAATCGCAGTCGCGCCGCGCGCGAACGAGCGCGAGAGAAAAACAGACGAGGCTCCGGCGCGCGAGAAACGGAGCAGAGCGAAAGAGCACGGCGCGATAAGGGAGCGCGACGGCGCGATCGTTATGTCATCGCGATGTTATTGGTCGAAGCGTCCATCGCAGGGAGAGTACACTGCTGATAGAAAGCGTTACAAGGCCGATGGCGCCGCCGCCGCCGCCGCCGCCGCCGCCGCCGCCGCCGCCGCCGCGCGCCTACCAAGGAGACAACGAGCGGTGCGGACCGCGACTCTCCCGCGACTCTCCCACGACGGCTTGGAAAAATTCGCGCCGGACGCGTACGCGGACGCCGACGAGCTTTCCGCTGATTTTACCTAGGCCGCGTATTCAGGACTTGCGTAGGCACTTTCACGACACGCGTGACACACTGATCTACAGCAGCAGCGATCACAACAACACGTACACTCGACGAGGAGGGAGAGCAGTTACACTCGAGGATCGATCTTGCCGTGCAGTCGCTCGGCCAGCACTGCACACACTACTGTTGCGCCGGCTGTACGCTGCGGTGCTCGCTGCCGCCGCTGCTGCTGCTGCTGCTGCTGTCGCTGCTGCCGGTCCCCGAGCCGCCGCCAGCGCCGCTCGCGCGCATGCCTGTGCCCACACCTCTCCCGCTCTCTCGCTTACGAGCAGTGCGCGACCGAGACTGGCGTGCACGTCGGATTTTCCTCTCCGACGGCCGCCGCTCCGCGATTCTCGCATTCTTTTCCGCACTTTTCCACCGTGCGACTGCTCGCGAGAATCACGCCGACCGATTATCGATCGCTCTCGGCGACTCGACGATCGTACCAGTTCGATCGGCAGACAAGCCCAGAGCCGAGCGTTCGTTGAAGATGCCGTCGACATACGCACGTACGCGAACTTCCTTTCAATTTCTTTTCCTCTGTCGCGCGCGCCTGAGTCATTTTATTATTGTGTTGACATGTCTCTCTCTCTCTCTCTCTCTCTCTCGAGCGCTCGCGCATTGGCAAATGAATACGGGGAAGAACAACGGTGAAACGAGATGCCGAGCGACGCGCAACTGCACGTCATTCACCTTCCCGAGAACTGCGACGAGATGGTCACGGCTGATTATCGAGCGCGTTCCGCCCGAATTTCCACTCGCGCGCGTCGTCCCGTGCGGCTTATGGGATGCGTATAAACTCTCTGCCCGCGCTCGTGCCATTTCCGGGGTCCCCCCTTCTTTTCCTCGCGGTCGCGTATCATAAAGCGAGACCCGTCGTGGTGTGGCTTTCCTGTGCTCTACAACTCGCGGTTCAGGAACTTTGTTGTTTGGCGCGCGCGCGAATATGTAATACTTGGCTTTCGTTCCGAATGGCATCGTCGAAGATGACGTGCATACCGCTATACGGCGATCGATTACGCAATTTTTCGCCGTCATCCCCGCGGTTCACCAACGATAATTATTCGCATTTTCTTGTCTTCTGAAAAGACGATTTATCGAGGTTTTGCGTTCGCGCTCGCGTTACACTATCGTTCCCTATTTACTTATTTTTATTCTTGAAACTTGCTGCGCAGAGAACGAACGTTCGCCGATGCATTATTGTCAATGTCACATCGCGAGATGTTCGATGAATAACGCACAGTGTGCCTACGAGACATAAACAGTTGCGCGATCGATGGCGCGTCGCGAAGCGCGACGAGGAAAAAAAGAAATGTATATCGCAAGGTATCCGAACGAGGTATATTACCTGATCAGAGCATAAGTAGCGATATCTTGCTCTTCGAGACTTTGGGCATTGTGCTAAGCATGGTTGATAAGCCTAGCAAATGACTCTATAGAGCCTCGTTCGCGGAAAAAAGACTTGGCAGCGGCGCGCCAAAGGGACGGAATTGCAATTGAACGCGATCGGAAGGAACCGGGACCGGGACTCGAACCCGCGACACGGGCGCGCGAGTGCAATCGTTTAGACCACTGAGCCAAACTCGTGCTCCCTGGCTTGCGACGCCGTCGTTCGCTTATATACTCTCCGAGGAACCATGTCGACAAACGGGATCGCTGCTTTATCGACTCGTCGCTTGTCCCTCCGCTCGTTCCCGCGCGCGCCCATTTCGCCGAGCGAAGGGGAAAAGCCAAGTCGGCGGAATTGGAAAATTCAGGGTGGAAAACTACAAGGATAGTGCGACTCTTTCTCTCCGTGCGTCTAATTTTCGTGCCGGTGCATTCCCGCGCGTGCTCGCCCGTTCGCCTCGAGCTT